GTGATAAACTTTCAATTCATATTGGTTATACAAATCTAATTAGAAATAAATTACCTTGAATCACAACAAATAAAAAATGAGTAAATATTCAAATAATTTGAATAACTTTAAAATTAAATTTTAAATTTAGAAATTATTGAAAAAATATTTCATAATTAAAAAATAATGCTTAGCTTCTGAGGGGTAAATTAAATATGGGAAGTTATTTAATCCAGATTTTGCTTGGCCATATCCCCGCCTATCTGCTGACGTTCACACTCTCAGACTCTCTTCTCTATATGGAAGGGTAGATATTTGATTAGACGCGCTATCTAGTCAAGAAATGAACCATGGAGTTTTAAAAAATGAAGATAAAAAGTGAAGCATGCTTTAGAAGACGTGAAAGAATGAGAAAAAGCAAGAGCATGCTGTTGATTTTATGGGACACTCCAAAGTAGGTGCGTGGAACACTCCTAAGTTCATGGGACACTCTCAAGTAACTTGCTGGTAAATTTCTGGCCATTATCAATTTTGGTATTCATCTCTTTAGCTCGATGAGAGGAAAAATTTGTTAAGATTCGGAAATCTTGAAGCAGGTTGGACTGTACCATGACTTGGGCTGTACTCTGATTTCATAGAGTTGTTGAAGACGTAAATTTGACTGTAGAAACTCGAATATAGTCATGTTGAAATATATTCCTGAAGATAAGCTCCGAAACCCGGATTTTATCAAATACCCGTTTTCAAGGCTACTTTACTTATAATGAGTAAAACGGCTTCACGGAAATGCCAAAAGATTGCATGGGACTTGATCCAGAGAGCTCTCCTATGTAATGTTGTGAACCGTTCAACCACCGACTGATCCTTTTAATTTTTGTTTTAATTGCTAAGCAAGAAGAATTAAATTTCGTCTCATTGACAATTTTCTAAAGTTCATTAACAATTTTTTGTCTTATAAAATATGTGATAAAATTTTAAAGCGTGTGACACGCGATAAAATCATTGATTATTTATTTTTTATATTAAAAAAATATTTTTTAAATAATTTAAAATTTAATTATAAATATTACTAGTATTATAATTTAATTATTCCGATACCGGTACTATCGAAAAGTACCTCGGTACTTCAGTACTACTTAATAAAAAATAACAGAATATCAAAAATAGCGTTGCTAAAGCATTGTTTTCAATAAATTTAATAAAAATTTTAGAAATAAACCACCTTGGATGAGATTTTCTCTCATTCTCGGACGGATGATTACAGTATCGACTCTAAACTTTTGGGTTATTAATAACAGACAGTTCCCTCAAAAATGCCAAAAGGAGTAATCCATAGGATTCGACTCCAATGAGTACAGTGGCAATTTTTGAGACGTAAAAAATATTTGGAATATTTCATTTTTTTCAAGTCTTAAAAAATCTGAAGCTCGTCTCAAATATTCCAGCAAAACTTTTTTATTAAAAACAAAATTTCTAAATTTATTTTAAATTAAAAATTAATCAATTAAAATAATCTCAAATTTATAAAAAAAATTTTTAAATTTTTTATAAAAAGAAAAATAATTTTTATTTTTAAAATTTATTTGCACAGTTAGTATATTTTAATAATTTTTTTAATTTTTGTATAATCTAAAAATAATTGGCTATTTATAAATTTTTGGAAGAAAAAAAAGAAAATTGAACTTAAAACTTAAAACCGAAAACCGGGTTTCTAAAATTTAGATTAACCGAAAACCGGGGGTACCGGTTAATAACCGGACGCCAACAACCCTAGTAAATACATATTATAAATCAGGAAGTTAGAGTAAATCTGGACTGGTTCGCGATACAACAGTAATCCTTCCGAAATAAAAAATAAATTTCCAATTTTGGGAAATCTGTTCGGCAGGATCCCTGCTATGATGTCCATTGATATTTTATAAAAATAATTTTATTAAAAATATATTTTTATTTAAGCTATATAAAATTAATAAAAAAAAGTTAATAATGCTTAGCCCGTACAACTATTACGTAATAATTTATGTATTTGCACAGTTAATTTAATATATTTTTTAAATTTATTTAAATTCAAAAAAGAATACTTCCAAACCAATCCATTTTTGGAAAAAATTTTTTATTGCAATGAAAAAAGGAAATTTTTTAAAAATTTTTATGCTATTTTATTTTATTCCTTTTATTTTTATTAATTCTGTGAAACCTCAAAATAATAACGATGAAATTATTTCTTTGCCAGGGCTAAATTTTAAACCTAATTTTAAGCAATATTCTGGTAAATATTTTTTAATTGAATGTTAATTAGATTGTACCTAACAGTCGGACCTTACTTTAAGATGTCATACTTTTGGGGCTGAAAAAATTCTAGCTTATAATTTGTATCTTTAATAAGTCTAACATTTGAGCATGTCCCCCTTATCTTGTGGTCAGCCTCATTTAGTAAAGTATCTTAACTGAGATGTATTTAATATTGGTTGCATCCTAAAGTGAAGTCTGATTTTAAATTAAAGGATATCTGGATGTGTCGGATAAAGATTCTTTGTTCTATTGGCTGATTACCTCGCAAAATAATAATGAAAATGCACCTTTAGTTTGATAAATTAATTTTTTTGAGATTTTGAATTTTAAAGATTGTTTGGTTTAATGCTCCTGGTACAGATACGAGCCAAGGCTGCTCGCCTCTAGAAGTATTATTCACAGGAATAGGTCCTTATCTAATTAATTCAAATGGGACTCTTGACAAAAATGAACACGCTTGGAATAAAAATTCCTCACTTTTATTTATCGAAACACCAAAATCAACTGGATTTTCATATCTAAAAACTAATGATGAATATTTCAGAACTGGTGATAATCAGGTTTATGAGAATATTTATAAAATTTTTATAAAATAATATTGGATTCTATTAAAATAAAATGACAAGTTTCGGCCTCCATGAGGGCCAGAGTCATTAAATTATATGTTGGATTACGCTTTTTTAGTTATTGCAATACTCTGATCACAATAAATATTTTAATATTTTGATCAGAGAGAGAGAGAGCCCTAATCTAAATATTTAAAAAAATATTTATTGAAATACTATAAATTATTTACCAGGGAAATTATAAAATATTTTTTATCTTTAATAATTATTTATGAACAGACTGCAGATGAGAACTATGTAGCACTTAAGCAATTTTTCAATAAATACCCAAATTACAAAAAGAATGAATTATATTTTGCTGGAATATCCTATGCGGGTTATACTGCCCCCTTGCTTGCTAGACGTGTTTTGGATGGAAATAAAAATTTCCGTTTAAATTTAAAAGTAAAATTAAAGGTTTTAATGAAATCTTATAGTGAGAGTACATTAGATAAGGTATAGAATTTCGGCAGCTCCCCAGAAGAGGTCTGCCATTTAAAAAACTTATATTAAATTACTATATTATTGGGTTTATTTTATAGTTCAAGTTTAATTACATATTTCTAAAATGAGCAATTAAATATTAATTTAATTATTTTAAAGGGAATATTATTATATAATCCAATTTTAAATATTTATTTGAATAAAAATATGGCTGCTCAATTCGCTTATGCATATGGATTTGTAGATGAACATTTGTGGAATGATTTTAAGGCAAATTGTTGTAAAGGGTGTGTTGGTGAGATTTCTAAAATTAAAAAAAATTTTTAAATCAATCATGAGAAATTAAAATTATTTTTAAGATCCTTCAAATTGTGATATTAATTTTTTGAGTGGGGAATGTAGATATATGGTAGGTTTTATTTAAGCATTAATTTAATTAATGATTTAAGACTGTTGGGATTGTAGATGTTCTTACGGCTCCACGAGTTTATCCGTTTGATATTTACAGAGATTGTCCAATAGCTCAAGAAAATCTAGAACCAGGACAATCGTGTCTTTACAGTAAGGCTTTTAATTAAAAATTATTGGTAAAATTAAAAATGTTGTGTTAATTGAAGAGCTTTTTTAAGAAAAGCTCCGTTTAGATAACCGTGATTTTTTAATAAGATCTAGCTCACCCCAAAAATTTATTCACCCCCTCTTATCGAGCTGAGTAGAAATATTAAGGATTTCTTGCTGGAGAAAAAAACTCAGAAAGTTAGGATTCATGAAAGTTAAAAAACCATAAGGGAATAAGTTCATTTTTTCTTCTATTTAATTTTCTTTGTCTTTAATTAATTTTAAATATTTAATAGTTCCCGGTGGATCAAAAATCTATGATTATTTGAATCAAGAACAAGGTAAATAATAATTAATTTAAAATATTTATTTAATAAAAATTAAAACTAAAAATATTTTGTAAATATTTGCAATATATACACTTAATAAAACACTTACTTATCGACGAATTTGAGCGTGATATGAAGAGATAAAGAGGGATTGAAGGTGATATAAATGGATTTGAAGTGATATACCGTATTTTCTCGATTAATTCCCCTCCCTCGAATAATTCCCCCTCTCGATTAATTCCCCACGCTAGTATTGGGTTGAAAAAATAATTCCCCAGTGGAATTAATCGAGTAAATACAATAAGGGATTTTTACGAATATCGCGGATATCAAGAAATTGTTCTGATATAGAGATTGAAAGTCTATAGAACTCTATTAATTTACCCTCCCTCTAAAATAACTCCTCCCTCATAAATAGCCCCCCTCTAGGGGTCGATCGAATAAATAACCCTTATCGGTTTATTTTAGAGAAAATATGTTGAATAAAATTGTAGCTCCACCCGGTAGTCAATCAGCTTTTGAGAAGTGTGTGCGTGTATTAGAGAGTGTACATATCTGTTTGTAAGTATAAGGGATCTGACTGCAAGTTAAACTAATAATTTTTGCTGTCATCTTTAGCTACATATTTATTGAATAAAATATTTTTTTATAATTTTTAAAGTTCAAAAAGCCTTACATATACAATTAATTAATAATGAGTGGCTTGTTTGCAGTGATATTGGCAATTTAAAATATAATATGCAATATGGTATTTAAATAAGATTAAAAAATAAAAATAAATAAAAATATTTAGATGATATTTCTCCAATATTGAAGGGATTATTGAAAGAAAAAATAAGAATAATGATTTTTAATGGAGATACTGATGCACTTAATATTTATTTAACTGCACAAAAAATTGTTGAAAATCTTGGGCAAAAAGTTGTTAATTTTTAAATAAAATAGAGGGAAATAAATATTTTTAAAATTAAATTAAAGTTAACAACCCCAAAACAAGCTTGGCTAATTAATGGACAAATTGGAGGGTTTAAAACTGAATATGGGAAGTTATTGACGTTTACAACTGGTATAAATTTAAGAAAAATTACATTTGAAAAATTATTTTTAAGTTCGTGGGCAAGGTCAACTGGTTGGTTATTTTAAAATAAATATATTTATATTTTAGAAATTATTTTAAATAAAATAAAAAATTTAAATTTTATTTTTAGATACATTTATATGGACCTGAAATTGCTGAATATATTCTAAATAAATTTTTAAATAATTTACCTCTTTGAAGAAATGGAGAGTTTAAAAATTTGCAAGAATAAATAAGAGGATAAAACCACCTTTTATAATTGAAATCATTTTAAATAAAAACCAAGCATTTTTACTTTTACAAATTTTAATATCCATATCAAAAAAAAAATTTGAGGGCTAAATAATTCATGCGGATGTAAATGTCTTTATATAAAATTTTAAATAAAATTTTTAAATGGATTAGCGTAATATGTATACGTATTTTCTCTATTAATTCCCCTGTGAAATTAATATTTAATCAAAAATGGGGAATTATTCGAGTTTTAAAATTTGAATGTGCTTTTGAGTACTTGGGTGTGAGGAATTGATGTTTAAACTAGAGATAGGAATTTTTAAAAAGCATGGACTCTGGGGTTGATTTATTGACCTGGACTGGATCCTGGGCCTGTAGTCCAGGGAAAAACCTAGGCTCAGGAAAACCCCAGGAAGGTCAAAAAATGCCTGGACCTGCTGGACTTTGGTCACAGGAAAAGCCTGGGCCAGACTCAGGCCGATCTCTAGTTTAACCCCATCCCTGGCTGGGAAATTAACCGAGAAAATACGATATGTAGAAAACATTATGAGGATATATAAATTCTTATCACACAAATTAGAGGATACTTGAGGTATAAATAATAGGAGGGAGACATTTAAACCTGACATTTGCGGTCCACGATTGGAATTAAAATGCATCAAGTTTTTCTGGTATTTTATGAAAATTTTATCTGTGACAGAGATTCCGATTTCCGAAAAAAAATTTCGATTTCCGAGTTCCGACTTTTGAGCCAGTTCCGATTTCCGGCTCTTCCGATTTCCGACACCTCGGACTGTTCCGGCACATCTCTGTTTGTAATTGATTTTGACTTTGTAAAATACAATCAAAATCTAAAAATTAAATGGTTGACAGCAAATGTCAGACAATTTTTTAAATAATTCTTAGTTTACACATCTTTCAATCGTTTACTTTTTTCCATAAATATCTTCATATTCTTTTTCTTTCTTCAATTTTTTGTTCTTTTTATTTTCTTCGTATTTTGCTTTTTTTTCTTTCACCCATTCTTTTACCTTTCTTGCAACTTTTTTTATCATCGTTGGATTTTCTTCTTTCCATTTCTTTTTTAAGACTTTGAAAAAATTTTTAATTTCATTCTTGATATTATCTTCATTGTCAGTAAATTCGCCAATTAAAAATATTTTGCCAACATTTTTAAAAAATATTTCAATTTCACTGCAAATAAATTGAACAAATTCATTTTCTCCTTCAGAATTTTTCATTTTTTCCTCACAAATTTCTTTTCCTTTCAGTATAATCGAGAATTTATTTTCTTTCAAAAAATTAATTTTTTCATAAACCTCCTAAATTTAATTAAAAATATTTTTTAATATAAATAATAATCGTTTTAAAAAGATCAATTACCGTATTTACACAAATATCACCCTTCCTCAAATAATTACCCTCCCCTAATAATTACCACATCTAGCCAAAGATCGAAACAATAATTACCCTTCTTATAATTACCTCCAATTTTTTCCTGAACTACATCATTTAAAAAATATTTATTAAAAATCATTGTCAATTAAAAAAACATTTCCGATCACCCAGGGTAATTATTTGAGTAAATACGTTAGTTTAATTTTTACATAGACCATTCGAATATGTTTTGTTAAATTTTATACTATTTATTTAATAAATCTAAAATCGCTTTTTAAAGGAGTATTTACATCTATAACGAATAAGGTTGTCGAATCTGGATATCCGGAAATTTCCGGTTCGGATGCCTGATCCGGATATCCGAAGATTTCTTACTAACGAAGCTAAGCATTTTTATTATTTAAATTATTTTTTAAATTAACCTTATATTTTACTTCAACCCCTTTTAATTTCTTCCCATTTCTTTCCTTTTCAATTAAAAAATTAAAACTTTGAAGTAAACGATCAAATCTTTTATCAGTTTTGAAAAAGAATTGAATATCCGGATATTCTTTATATATTTCTTTAAATTTATTTTTTAAAACTTCTTTCGCTTCTTCCTCACCAATTTTTAATAAAAACATACTATCAAAAATTTGTTTAAAAATTTCCCCAAATTCAGGCAAAGATTCAATTTGTTTTTCTTCTATTTTAGATTTCATTATTTCTTTTTCCAATTTAATAAATATTTCGTTAATTTCTTTGTATATTATTTCATTTCCCCCAACAATTTCTTCTTCAACTTCTCCCCCAATTTTTGTTTTAATTGTGGGCTTTTTATTTTTTTCACCTTCCATTTTTAAAATACCAAATTTTTCCAAACTTTCTTCCAATTGTTTATACTGATTTTCAAAATAGTTAACTACTTTAAAATTCCCAAAAAATTTTCTTATATCTTTTCTTTTCTCCAAAAGTTTATCCAAAATTCCAAAAAAATTATTTTCCTTCAATGATTTGATGTGCTTATTTAGCAAGCTCTAAAAACATAAAGTTTATAATCGTAAAGAAATAAATTTTACAAAATTCCCGTGTGATAATGGGTAAATACCCGTTAATAGATAACGGGTAAATACTTTACTAAAACAACATTTAAAACACCTTGATAAAAATTAGATGAGAAATCTCTCTCCCGAATTAATTTTTTTAACTTTGTAGAGTTACACCCAATGCTTATTTTGTCAGAAAAATATTACAGTATTCTATTAGTAAAAGTAGTGCAGGACTAGGGGACCTTCCTTACTAATTGTAAGTCATGGTTTTTTGATAATTAATTTTGTAGCAAATTATATTAAAAAAGAATTAAATAATTATGTATTAAAGTATTTTGTTTAGGTATTTTGATCGTAATATCTTTTAGCCCGACACTTTAGTGAAAATAATTAAATATATTTTAATAAAATTAATTTAATAAAATTTAAAGAAAACCTGAAATTTATATACTACAAACCACTCATTTTTCTCTTTATTTTTTATCATCTTTTCATTCAAAATTTTATCGAAAATTTCAAACTTTTCGGCACTATTTATATATTTAATAATATCTGGGTTCAAATTTTCACATTTAAAAAAATAATTAATTAATAAATTTTGTTTATGGAACTCATCAGAAATTTCTAAAAAATCTTTGCGTTTCCCAATGCTCCCTGCTAGATCCAACATTTCTTGCTCCTCGGTTAATTCGAAAGTCACTTTCTTTTTTTCAACTTTATCTGTAACACCACTACTTGTTTCCCCTTCCTCGAACTTTTTTTCACTTGTCGAATCAACCACATTAACCATTAACAAAAATAATATACATAAAAGTATAGAGTATTTCCAAACACTCAAATAGTATATCATTTTGTCAGTGTATCAATCAGTGGTGTAATGTTGATATAGACCTCCACTGTTCTTTTTCTATAAAAATCTTATTGCAATTTAAAATTACGAGATTATGAAAAATCTGCAAATGTTACTACTACATATGTATGAACAAAAAGTCAAACATGTTTTTGACACCTCTGTCATAAAATTAATTCCTATTCTGACTCATTCAAATATTTTTTGTTAAAATTTCTTATAGTAAAATTTATATATTTACCCTTATAAAAGTCAAAAACAGTTAAACTATTTCTTTTCTGGCAAAAAGAAATCTGAAAATTTTATTTTCATTTAACTAAATGTAATTTTTAAATCAAATTAATTTAATTAAAAATAGTATATTACCTCCAAATAATTGCGAATACCTTGAAAGTTTAATGAAATTTTTAGAAATTTTTTTAAAAATAATTCTATATATGAAAGGACTTTTAAAAAAATTTAAAATGTGAAGGGCTAAATTAAATAAATGGGAATATATTTATTAAATCAGTCAATAATGCTTGCCTCCTCATTGACGCTTGCTCTCTCAAGAGAGAGCAAGACAGCTAATTAAGGTGCGTAGCGGCTCACGCTGCGCAAGACAGCTAAGCGTAGCGGCTAAAAATTAAGCATGCCTTCTAGACGCACGCTGGAAAACGTGGAATTGGCATAAGGCCATGTTGTGGAAGCTAATGTGATGTTTAAAAAGGCGCACCCTAAAACGGCCTTCAACAAAAAACGGCCCATCTCAAAAATTCGTCGAACTTTAAATTAGAAATAGAAGGAAAAATAAATTAAAAATAGAAATCCAGACATTATGTCACCCCAAGAGAACGACCAAAATATGGCCTATATCCGTTTATAAAAACCGTCAATTTATTAAAAATTCGCAGCTTTTACATATTCTGGCACTCGGAAAATTTAACAAAGGAATTTCCGGTTTTCCGGTCCCATATTCTTCCGGTCTCCTTTCATTTTCTATAATGGTTCATGTTTTTGACAGAATTCTAGCTCAAAGTAAATTTATTTTTTTGGGAGAATCTTTCAAAAAATTATCCACAAAAATTAGCCAAAAAATTTCATACATTAGCGGTGGGCATAGCCCTTAGCATATTGCTCGATTTCAATAGGTTTCCAAAAATTTTGTTTCAGTTGTCCTTTCTTGTCTTTGTTTCATGAAGTTTGAGGTTGTTTAATTAGACATTTTTTTAGTTAAGAATTAATTGGCAAATTTACACTCTAATAATTTTATAAAATCAATTGGAAAGTGGGGAAATTTAAAAAAATGTTAATCAGCGTGATGCAATCAAATCACCATGATGAAGTTTAGAGGGGGGAGACAGACATTGAGGGAAGTCGGGATTTCTCATTCTGACGATTTAATCATTCTGACGCAATTTAAAATTAGACTGCCTGAATTTTAAATTTAAAATTAATTTTTATTTTAATTTATCAGAAATTCTTTTATCAAAATTCCAAAAATTAATAAAAATAATAATTTAAATTTTGATATTTTTCAAACAAAAAATCTTTAAAAATTGGAAATTTAAAATTATAATTTTCTTTTAATTTTCAAAATAATTTAAACATTAATCACACTGACGTAAACAAGAAAATGCCGGCAAAGGAAGCAGGAAAACCCCTTACCCTTAATACGTAAATTTTGAGGACATTCTAAGTAAAACTACGTTAATATAAATAGGGCAAAAATAATTTAATTATTTTATAATAATTTTAATTTAATTTTAATTTAATTAATATTAAAATAAAAAATATTATTGATTAAGATATAAAAAGAATAAAAAAATATTAAAATGAAGCTTTTTATATTTTCTATAATAATTCTTTTCAATTTTAAATTAAATTATTCTGTTCAATTGCTTAGTGATATTTTACAAAATATTACAGAGAAGATTGATGGTTAGCTTTGAGGAAATGCTTTGGGACCTTTGAAAATTTTTAAACATAGGGGAAGTGATTACGCGGTCTGGTAACCATTCCAAAGAATCTCCAAAAAATTCTGTCTTCTTTTTCACAAGATTTACTCCTTTAAGTGGTTTTTAGTTTAAACAAGAATACCGTATTTTCTTGATTAATTCCCCTGGGGAATTATTTTTCCAACCCTTCCTTGGAATGGGGAGAGGGAGGAGAATCATTCGAGTTTTGGCATTTGAACGTGCAGTAGGGTATTTGAGGATGGGAAATTATTATTTCAACCCATCCCTGGCAGGGGGAATTAATCGAGAGGGGGAATTATTCGAGGGAGGGGAATTAGTAATCGAGAAAATACGGTATATTCAGAAGAGAAATAAACACCTTATATTTTCTTTGATCAAAATTTCGTTGTTCATCTTTAATATTTTTAAACAATTACAGAATCCCAAATCTACACACTTCAAGTTCCAGTTAAAATTTGTATGTTTTTTTTTAAATTATTTTTAATTTCCCCGTTTATTTCAATTAAACTTTTAGCTGATGGTGGAGACATTTGGATGATTCAAGATTTTGAGGGCCCAAATGGATTCAGTGGGCGTAAAAATGAAACAGTTAATATTGAGGATGTTTTGAGGGCCGTACATGGAATTGAAGTTGAATGTGTGTTTTTAATAAAAAAAATTAATTAAATGGAGATCAATTTAAAATTATTAAACAAAAATCACCCAAGGAATTTTTAGGAGCATACAGTCATTTCCTTTTAGTTAATAAGATGGCTTATTAAAATAATTTTTTCGTGATAGTGAACATCAGCGTTAATTAAATTAGCTAACTTATCCAAGTCCAAGTAATTTATCTATGAAAAACAGAAAAAAATCCTAAAATTAGTCAAATTATTACAATTTTTGGGATTGCATTTAACCAAGTAACCCGCTCCTATATAACCATTGCCTGCTTATTCCTCTCATTTATGCTTTTTATGATTTTCCAGCCCTCAAAGCTGTATAAATAAAAAATGTCCGAATGTACATATTTTAATTCGCGCAATTAAACAAAAAATATTAGTAAAAAATTTATATTAAAGATGTTGAGCCACCAAAGGAAAATAAAAATTTTGTTCCAAATGTTGAGAGAAGTGGGGAAATTCGTTTTAAACAAGATATTGATATTAGAGGAGGTGGGAAACGTCTTAGAAAAAGTAAAGGAGAGAAAATGTATATCTGGGATTTTGCTCATAGAATGCGACGAATTGATAAACGATGGATGATTACTGGAGAAAAGCCAAAACCTGAACATATTTTTCGTGTTCTGATTGATGGGCATGCAATGTTAGCACTTTTAAATGATGATGGGGATGAAGTAGCACGATGTAAGTTTCTTGAAGAAGGAGATTGAATCAAGGAAACTCGCTATAATTCAGTTTAGAGTAGGGCGAAGGAAACCCCCGCGGCGAGAGAAAAATTTTCCCCGCCCCCCCCCCCCCCCGTGGCGCTGTCTCCCCGAAAAATTTTCCCCGTGGCCCCTCCCCCCCCCCCCCCCCCGTGGCGCTGTCTCCTCGAAAAGTTCTCCCTGTGGCCCCCCGTCGGGGAACAACCCTAATTTAGAGACACAGTTCTGTCTGCAGCAATTAGTTACTGAATAATTAACCTTCTAAATATTCAATTCCCTACTCGATTGTTGCAATTAAAGATTAAACCCGGATACAGATTTTTAGCTTTTTAATCCTCTAGGAAAAAAGGAAATTCAAGGAAAAAGTATAAGAAACAAGGGAAAAAGGACACAATTCATTTAATAGTCCGCTTTAATTTATAGTCCACTTCAATCGACAAGGCTTGAATCTATTCAGAAAAGAAACTGGAAATGTTATTGTAGATCAAGATGATTTAACTGAAAGAATTGACACAACATCCCTTAAACGTTTTCGAGGCCAATATATCAAAAACGGATTTAATCCTCCCCTACAAACTCGTAAAATGACAATAGAGGAGGTAAAAAGAGTGGCACATGAAGTAATTGGAGGAAGGCCTTGGGGTGGAAAAGATGGATTTAAATGCCATCATTTTGTTTACTCATTAGCACAAGCATTGGTAGAAGAAAAAGATAAAAATGAATTGTTGGATTATTCCAAATGGCCAGAAAGTTTGAGACTTTTAGATGAAAGGATTAATCGGTTGGATGGAACATTTGCATTTTTTGATAGTGTTCCTCTTGTGTGAGTATTTTTATTTAAAGTATTTTAGTGACAGATTTATTTTTGTGGGGAACAGAGGAACGTGTTTAGTTACCGTAAATCCTCTGAAATAGCCCTCCCCCACCTCTAAAATAAGCCCCCTCTAGAGGTCGATCGAAAAAAATAAGCCCCGGGGATTATTTTAGAGGATTTGCGGTAATTAAAGACAAAAATTAAAAACTACATTAGTGGTTGTTTATTTTATCCGCATAAAACTATCAACTATTTACTAGATAACCAACCCTTGACAGTCCGACAAACAGCAAAAACGGCTCAAATCCTTGCTAGAAAGGGCACATTCCCTAACGAATGAGACCGGTCTCGACCGTTTTTAGGTCGGACACCTCACAACCTTTCCTTGTAAAGAATTAAATTCATTCAGATATCCCTCTCCGAATTTGTCTGAGACAACAGAAATACAGACAACACCAAAAAATGAAAGAAGGATTTTTGAATTGTCAAAATTTTGTAACCCTCAAAATGGAGAGCCTTCACCATTTCCATACAGTTTACAATGTGGTACATCAAATGTCCAATATGGTACCGCTATTGCTTATGGTAAAAATTGGAAAGGATTGCGAGCAAATCGGCCAACTTTATTAAATAAATTTAAAATAAGAAAGCCTTTCACAATAAATTCTCTTCCAAGAATACCCATAAAAAAGGAAAGGATCAATCATCCATTGTTGTCTCCTTCTACTCCTCAATTTTTAAAAATTTAAAAAATGATAAAAAAAAATTTTGTTTTGTTATTTTATTTATTAGTAAGGGTAGGATTTATGTGGATTTCATTATTTTTTCCTGGCTTAGTTGGGTCGTGAAACGCACGAAAAACGTGTTGTTTAGCATATGTTGATAAGATTGATAATGAATTATCAATCCATATTTTATCGATATTTCGTCATTTTTTGTAAAATTTGTCAAATTTTCAAAATTTTGGAATTTTTTGTCAAAAATTGCAACTTTTCACAACTAATACATACATACATATGTACATAGGGATGGGATTTATATGGACTATCAATCGAAAATTATGGACATATGTATAATATGGACTAAAATACAAAAATATTCAAATAGATTATTTTGACATTGAAAGCAATTACACTTTCAATGTCAAAATAATCACTTTTCAAAAATTCTCATACCCAGGGATCAATACTTTTTTCCACCAGTGTATGGGCCGAAAACTGAAAATTTTTAATGGAAAAATGAATTTTCACATTTAAATAATTAGATTTTGTTCATTTAAAGTGTTTTTTTATTAATTTTATGCTTATTTTGTGCTTTAAAGGCATAGAACTTTAAAAAGTCATGAAATTTGGGAACATAGTAGTATTAGTATACCCTGATTTTTGTTAATTTTTATACTTGATTTGTGCAGCCTTTTTTCCAATTTTTAAGAAGAAAAAAGAAACGGAGAATCACCAAATTTTTTATTTTAAAAAAATAAAAATTTTTCTTTTAATTTCAAAATTCTTTTCTAATTATTTTTGTAAAAATTTCTAATTTCCCTCCACTCATTTAACAACAATTCTGCCGCCCCAATTAATTCATTAATTTTCTTTTCAAATTCCTCATTTGATTTACACAACCATTTTAATGGATTTTCTTCTTCTCCCTTCCTTTCCTCTTTCTCTTTCCCCAACAAAAATTCCATATCCTTTTTATCATATTCTGGCAATTTTATATTTTTTGTTGAAAATTCGCTTGATTGTTTTGAATTTTCTATTAAATTTGTAAAAATTTCGTCAATTTTTTCTAAGACGGGAGAAATTGTTGTTGGGTTTTTATTTTCTATTCTGAAAAAATAATTTTAAAAACAAAATTATTTTCCTTTTTATCAAAATTATTAGGCTCTAGTTTAGGTCATGCGTCCAATGAGCCTGAAGGGACGCTTATATGTAGTATTTTTGGGACTCATAAAAGCTCATGTCTTAAACTAGAGCCAATTATTGTCTGCCAAAATCATTTTTTCTGGCCCAGGAAAAATGATTTTAGGGTTGGCGCCCATCCTATTCCGATCTGGCCTAATTTTTCTGGACTAATCCGGTCTGGTTTTACTTCGATAAAAATAATTTCCGACTAAATCTACTCCGAATTTTGTCAAAAATCGCTAAAAAAATATTTTAAGAGTTAAAAACTTGAAAAAGAAAATAAATACGGGTTCAAAGTATTTAATAAAAAAACATCGAAAAAATATTCATTCGATTTAATTTGAGATTTATTGCTTTTTCTTGGAGAAATCTTTTTTTTGTTAAAAAACGAACTTTTTTATGAACCGACCTAGTATTGCCTAATTTTAAACAAACAATAATTTCTCCTAGTCCTAATCGGGATTTTCAAATTTTCAATAAATCAATTCCCAAGGTCCCTATTTATTATTAAAAATTTTTTAAGAGTAAAAAAATTAAAAAAAAAACTTTTTTTAATCTAAAAAAATTTTAAAAATTCCCTCAAAAACAATTTTCCAAAAACAATTTTTTTCAAAAAAAAACAAAATCCTCACTCACATTTTCAAAGAAATTTTAGCTTTTTGAAGTCTTCTAGCTGTATTAACAACCTCTTTTTTAATTTTTGGGTCCAAAATTAAATGTTCCAATTTTGCATACCCAGCCTCGTCAAAAGAATCCAAAAAATTGTGTTTAAATAAATCTAACTGGAAAAAGAAAATTTTTTTAATTAATTTTAAAGAATTAACCTGTGTTTTTCTAAATTCATTTCGATCGACAAGTAAGTCTTGATCCAAAATTGTTTGTTCTTTTTGGTTAGAATTGTCTGACATTTTAAATTTTTTAAATAATTATTTTATTTTTCTATAAAAAAATTTTTTTTAAATAAATTTAGAGAAAATTTTTAAAACTTGCGGACAATTTTTGCGGATTTTCACAAAAATTTTTGAGAAAATAGAAAATATCTTAAACAGGTCCAAACTAGAAATCGAGATTTTTAAAAGCCTGGGCCCAGGCCCGAAGCCAGGATTTTTTTTCGGGGGGGGGGCCAAGGGGGGGAAATTTTTTTGCACCAAATTTTTGGCGCCGAAGGCGCCAAAAATTTACATTTTCAGCGCCGCAGGCGAAAATTTTGAGAATTTTGAAGTAGTGTTAGGCAAATGGATTTTTCCGGTACCGGTACCGGTAGTACCGGAAAGTACCGGTACCGGACGAGTACCGAAAATCCCAAAATCTGACCGGTACGGTACCGGTACCGGTAGTACCGAAAAGTACCGGTACCGGTCAGTACCGGAAAAAAATTTCCGGTACTACCGCGGTACTCCGGTACTGAAAATAAAATGAAATAATATCCCAAATATGGCCTTATAAATGTGCTAATTGATGTGTAACAGTTCTATATACTTATATGATCGTTGTTAGTTGGGATATCAAGGGATATTAGGGGATTAAGAGGGATATAGGGGGATTTCGCTGGATTTGATCGGATTAAGATACCTTTGTGAGATGTAATGCCTTTATTACATGACTCTGAATCCACCATATCTATTTTATTCTTTCGATATCTCTCCAAATCCTCTGATATCCTTTCCAAAATTCCCCGATATCCCTCTTAATCCCCCTACCTATAAATACTGAAAAATACACCGGTATATACCTAATCTAATATCCTTAGAAATCTCCCTAATCCCTCTATATTACTTTTAAACATCACAAATCCTCTTTTATCCTTGTTAATCCCGCAAATCCATTTATATCTGTTAATCCTAAAATACCCTCTTAAGAGCTTTTCATTTAGATATATGTATGGGGCATATCAGAGAATGTGAGTATTCTCAACTTTAATGATATTCTTAACCTTAATCGGGGTTTTCAGGAATTTGAGGAGATGGACTCTGAAATTCCAAAAAAATAAAATTTTGGAAGGCCAAGAAGCCAAGATTTCTTCTTGTTATAGCGCCGCAGGCAAAAATTTTCGATTTTTGATAGGCTTCAGGTGAAAATTCAGGAATTTTGGAAGTCCATATGATAATATTTTCCATTTTTTCTTAGAATTTTCCAGTACCGAAAAACCGGTAGTACCGCGGTACTGGAAAGCTGACCGGTACGGTTCCGGTACCGGTAGTACCGAAAAGTACCGGTCCGGTACTGACGGTAGTACCGAACCGTGCCTAACACTATTTTGAAGGCCATAGGCCAAAAAATTCACTTTTTCGGCGCCGCAGGCTCCAAAATTTTGATTTTTAGCGCCGCAGGCAAAAATTTTTTAAATTTCAGGGGCCGTAGGCCAAAAAATTTCACTTTTTTGTCCCAGCCCTTCCCCAAAATTTTCCCTTTTTCCCACTTCGGGGGGGGGGGGGGGGGGGGGGAATTCCCCCCCCCTACCCCCCTGGCTACGGGCCTGCCTGGGCCTGTTCCAGGGCTTGATTTATTGACCTGAGCCTGTAGTCTAGAAAAAATACAGGCTCAAGAAAAACCAAGGAAGGTCAAAAAATGCCTGGGCCTGGACTATGGGTACTTTTTTTTCTGTACTACTCTGGCTACAGGGAAAACCCATGTCTTGGTCCAGGCCCAGCTCGATCTGTAGTCCAAACCTTTCAAAAATTTAATTTTAATGTATAAAAATCATCTTTTAATTTATAAAAAAGTCCGCAAAAAGTGTCCGCATGTTAAAAAGAATGTCAATTTTTATAACAAAAAAGAGAAATATTTAAATTAATTTCTAAAATATTTTTTAATAAATTTAAAAATAATTTTGTTTTTTTTAATTTTATCTAAAATTAATTTAAAAAAAAAATAAATTAAAAATTAATTTACAAAAATAAACATTTTTAATCATCCTTCTCGGCTTCCTCGTCCATTTTCTCATCATCAGGCCAATTATTCAATCCCTCATTTAAAATAGCAAAAAGCCAATCTCTTTTAATGCATTGCTCTAAAAATTGAAAAAATATTTAAAAAAATTTTTTTAGCGAATTGGGAGAGGATAGAGAGCTTATTTTCTGACTTTTTAATTCAAAAAATTATGGAATGTAAAAATAATAAATTGAATTTTAAGGAATTTAATTGCTAAAAAATTAGTTAATTTTAAAGCGGAACCGTCAAAAAATTAACTAATTTTTTAATTTTTAAGCCTATTTAATTAATTGAAAATCTGTGGATATTCTAAATTCTCTTGAAATTTTTCTGAAAAAAATAAAAAAAATATAAAATGGTATTTGACTATAAATTTGATGTTTAAAAAAAATTTTTAAATTTAGGGGGGAAAAAATTAGAAAATTAATTTAAAAAATATTTAAATAAATTTTTAAAAATTATTTTTTAAAATTCTGGGCACCTTCTCCTAAAAAATAACAAAAAAATTTAACCAATATCCACAACTTGTAAAGTTCTTCGAGAACTTGCCAAAGTCCAATTCCAAGCAGATTTACTCAAAAGTTGAATATATTTTTCCTTAAAAAGAAATTAATTTAAAAAAAATTATTTTAAAAACTGTTGCAATTGTCAATAAATTAACAGCTTCGGAAGTTATTAAATTTTTTGAAGTTGTTGAAGGGTTGGCTTCTGCTAAAGAAATTTTTGCAATTTTTTTTACTCGAGTAAGTGGTAAATTTGTTTCCATAATTTAAATAAACATAAATTAATTTTTAGAAAAAATGCCTATTTAATTTAATGGTACGACAAATGAGGACGCGACAATTGAAAACAAAAACACATTAAAAAAATAAATTTTATAAAATTTTATTTTTAATGAGTTTTGTCAACAATTATTTTCGTCATAGGTCCTTTCCGTCAGTAAAGAAAGGTCGGCAAAGTATTATAATTGATTGATGATAATTATGATTGATCTGGGTATTAACAAGGATTAGGAAGATTTTGGGAGGAATAAAATTATCCCTTTAATGTCTCCAAACTACTATACATAAAAGCTATTTTTGGAAATTTACACATTTTTTCACGCGAAAGATTAAAATTTAAATAAATTAGAATTAATGTAGTATGTCTATATTTATGTAAATAAAACTACATTACATATTTAAATTTAATATAATTTGATTTTAGACATAAAAGGAAATTACTTTATTTAATAGAATTTAAATAATTTTTAACATATTTAAATATGTAAATTAATTTTAAATAGGTTTATGTATAATATGTATAAAATACAAATATTTAAAATAATTTTTTATTCTCGAAAAAAAATTAATTTTAAAAAACTTCCTATCAAAAAGAAATAACAAAAAAAATGTATTTTCAAACAATGACAATTCTTCTCTTCTTTATTTTGTTTATTCAATTAATAAATGTAAAATAAATTTTAAATTTAAAAAATTAAAGTATTTTTTTTCAAATTTTAGGGTGGACAAGAAATAATTAAATTTTTAATTTCTGAAGAAGCATCGACAAACATTCCAACAGTAGATGATTATCGAAATATTTTGTTTAAATAAAAAAAGAAAGATTTTGGGATCTTTGAAGATTAAAATAAATTTTTATTAAATTTTTTAATTAAAATATTAAATTCTAATTCTATAATATACCGTATATGCTCGAATAATTACCCGGGGGGGGGGGGGTATACCGTATTTTCTCGATTAATTCCCCTCCCTCGGATAATTCCCCCTCTTGATTAATTCCCCCTGCCAGGGATGGGTTGAAACAATAATTCTCCACTCCCATTTACCCTACTGCACGTTCAAATGCCAAAACTCGAATAATTCCCCTCCTTCGATTAATTCCCCATGCCAAGGAAGGGTTAAAAAAAATAATTCCACAGGGGAATTAATCGAGAAAATGCGGTATCTCAATAAATCGAGGAGGAAATCCATTTATTTTTTGATATTAATTCTTAATATAATGTCTCAATAATTAAAATTGACAATGATTCTTTCAATATTTTTAAAATTAGAGAAGGAAAGGGAGGGGGTAATTATTTGAGAGAGAGTAATTATTCGAGCATTTACTGTACATATAATATTTAAAAAAATAAATTTTAATTGTTTTACTGATTTTCGAGTTAATAAAAACTTCAAAAATATTTTTATTTTTTTAATTAAATAAATTGAATAGTTAAAAGAATTTTAATTAAAATAAATTGTTTCAATTCTAGAAAAATAGTTTTGTTTTTAAATTTTATTCACGCTACATTTATTTTTTGAAAGAAAGTCAACTTTTAAAATTTTATATATTTAGCTAAAATGTTAAAATTTTAGAATTAATTTTTTGGAAAGTTTTTGGGAAACATTTTTTTGAGCCGACACAGGCGAAAACTAATGCTACGGTTACATAAAAAACGCGCGCGTCTTGCGGCAGAAAAGATAATGGGAAATGAAGAGAGTAAAAGACGCCGGCGTCTTGCCGCTTTTTTTGAGTGGTTACATAAACTGCGTCTTCTGCCGGCGTCAAGACGCCGAAAACTCAGAAAAATATGCTTTATCAGAAAAATATGCTTTATCACTCAGAAAAAGACTCAGAAAAATATGCTTTATCATTTGGGTTTGTTAAATTTGTTCCGAAAACAAATTAAAAAAATTTTTAATTAAAAAATTTTAAAAAATTTTTAAAAAAATTTTTAAAAATTTAAAATTTTAAAAATTTTTAAAAAAATTTTTAATCGGATTTAGTGGTTACATAAAATCGCGCGCGTCTTGCGGAAGACGCTCGGCGTCAAGACGCCGGCGGAAGACGCTGTTTTGTGGTTACATAAAATCAGCGTTTTGACGCTTTGCGTCTTCTCGCTTAGCGGAAGACGCCGATTTTATGTAACCACGAAACAGCGTCTTCCGCCGGCGTCTTGCGTTTTTTATGTAACCGTAGCATAACAGCTCCTGAAAATTTTATTTTTGACTAGGTTTTTTAAATTTAAATGTTATCTGCTACTTTTACTGCAGTTAATTTCCGTAATGCTACGCTTACATAAAAAACGCAAGACGCCGGCGGAAGACGCTCGGCGTCAAGACGCCGGCGGAAGACGCTGTTTTGTGCTTACATAAAATCGGCGTCTTCCGCTAAGCGGGAAGACGCAAAGCGTCAAAACGCTAGTTTTATGTAAGCACAAAACAGCGTCTTCCGCCGGCGTCTTGACGCCGAGCGTCTTCCGCAAAAAGCTGCGTTTTTTATGTAAGCACTAATTGCGGACTAAATTTATAACAAATATTTTATTGAAATTAAATTAAACAAATAAAATTAAATCATTTTATCCTGCCATGATACCGATCCAACTTCACTGTTAAAATATTCTAATTAGAGGTCGGCGCGGAACGGGATCCCGACGGGATTTTCCGGGATCCCAGATTTTTGTGATTGTCGGGATCATTCGGGATCCGGGATTTTTTCGGGATTTATCCCTCGGGATTTATCCCTAACATATTTTTTGAAATATCCCCAGATTTTTGAAGTATCCCCAGATTTAAAAGGATATCCCCAGATATCTTTTTAATCTCTTAATCCCTTCAAACCCTTTGATATCCCGATATCTATTACGTAAAAATTTTTTATGTGAAAATCCCGAAATCCCAAGGGATTTTGCTAAATTTTAGAAAAGGATTACGCGATTAATCCCGCGGGATCCTGTTCGTAAACAATTTTGAAGAAAATCTGGAACTAGAACTAACTTGGAACAAGTTCCCGGGCCCGAATATAGGTCCTATAAAATCGAAAAACCATAGGGGGGACTCCCAAGGGAGCAAACAGTACGAGCAAACAGTACGAGCAAATTTGAAATTTCGAAGCCTCGATTTTCCCCAAAATTTTTTGTCCCTAACTATATGGGACGAGCCCTACTCATCAAGAAATGGTCACTTTTTCATGTTTTTGGTAACATTTGATAGAGAATCAAAAGCTAGCTCTACAACATATCAAAAAATCAGAATTTTTGCACGATTGATAAAAAAGTTATGAGATAAATACTCGATAGCATACTAAATATCTCAAAAATATCGAAAAAAGCAATCCCGGAGAATCGTGGTCCCTGCGAAAAAAAGTTTAAAAATAAGAAAAAGGGTTTTTCTAGGGTAAAAAAATATGCTGAGTACGAATCTGAACTCAAATTTTGAAAAAGTCGGATCCCGAACCCGAATATTGCCGAAAAAAAATAATATTTTTTGCAAAAAGTATACCTTTTTCAAAATCAATTTTAACCCATAAAATTTAACTTTAAAAATATAAAATTTATATTGATCGATAGAGAATGAATTGAATTTTCAAAATCTTTTTAAATTTTGAAAATCGGATTAGAATTGGCCGAGAAATGATCAAGACGCTAAAAGTTGCCGCAAAAAATTCAAACATGTTTGAATTAAAAAAAGAGACGCCGGCGTCAAGACGCCGGCGGAAGACGCAGTTTATGTAAGCACTCAAAAAAAGCGTCAAGACGCCGGCGTCAAGACGCCGGCGGAAGACGCGAGTTATGTAAGCACGCAAAAAAAGCGTCAAGACGCCGGCGTCTTGACGCCGGCGGAAGACGCAGTTTATGTAAGCACTCAAAAAAAGCGTCAAGACGCCGGCGTCTTTTACTCTCCTCATTTCCCATTATCTTTTCTGCCGCAAGACGCGCGCGTTTTTTATGTAAGCGTAGCATAACCGTTCACTGTCTCAAAATTCAATTATTAACAAAAATAATCAAGTAAATCAACAAAATTTTTTAAATAAAGAAAATGATTTATTCCGGCCCAGGACAGAATGTTGTTTTGGCAAACAATTATTGCCTTCTTCAAAAAATACTAATCCTCTATTCTCATCTTTATCATCACAATTAGCACCACAAAATAAAACCATGTCAAAATCTTGGTCAAAAAAGGAGGGATGTGTGAAAAAGGAATTAAGAGGTAGAAAACATAAATAATTATTCGAAGTTTTAGTGGGCCCCTATGGTCGAAAATACAAGTGGCGCTACATTTTTGTTACACGCTAAAATCAAATTTATTATTATAAAATTTTCTTTAAAAATTGCATTAAACTTTTTCTTTCCATTATTGATACATAATATCTTTACTTATATTCTACCAAAATTTGAAACAGATCCTTGGTAGGATATTGATAAAACTAGGTGGTCTATCATTTTGTTACAGTGTGGAAAATGGGCCGTAAATGTCCCCCCGTTTTACATTTACACTTTTTTCTGAATTAATAATCACTTATCAATTATATAGCTAAATAACAATTTGGAAGGAAACTATTTTTTGTGGGGATTTGTTCAAAAGTTTCGCGTAGCTTTTAGCACTATATACATATTTAATACATAGTTTTAATGGATCCTATGAGTAAATAAATAATAAATTTATGTATGTAAAAAATATACTAAATTAATTTGGACATAAGTAAAGTAAAAAAACAAAAAAATCTCTTTAAAATAACCTTAAAAAAGTAACAATTTCCAAAAACAAAAATCTGTTATTACATAAATTTAAATGAAAAATTCTTGTACTTTATTTATTTTTTTAAAACAAACAAAAGGTTATAGTTTAATTAATTTTCTCTCTCTTAAATTTTTTTTACAAAATCTGGAAATGTTTTTACTAAAAAGAGGAAAAATAGTTTTAAATTTCGTTTGTTTTTTGAAAATTTATTTTTGAGAAATAATGCACACAAAATTTAATAGAAAATTTAATGAAACGCTTAAAAGGTTAATTTTAATTAAAAGTTTGGGAGAGAGATATTTAATTTTTTTAATTTTAATTTGACAACATCAATCACCCAAATTTTAAATTAAATTTTTTTATTTAATTAAAGATGTAGCTTGGAAGTTAAAAAATTTTTTTGTTCTTTTAATACTAAAATTTAATTTAAAAAAGTAAAGAAATGTTGCCTATTTAGTTTTTTAATCCATTCAAACCGTAATTTAAATTCTAAAAAATACATATTCTACTAATAATTTAGATATCGAATAGTTGGGAAATATAGAAAACCTCCTCCCCATCTCTCCATAGTAGATAATTGACTCTTGTTTTCTAAATAAAATTTTTCCAAAAAATAACCATCCAATATACTCCTTACAAGGAAAGGTTTCGAGGTATCCGACCTAAAAACGGTCTAGACCGGGCTCATTCTATAGAGAATGTGCCCTTTCTGGCAAGGATTTTGAGCCGTGTTTGCCCATCTCTATCGAATGAGCCCGGTCTCGACCGTTTTTAGGTGGACACATCGCAACCTTTTCTTGTTAGTATAATTTAAAGAAAGCCATTACTTTCAGAGAACAATCGGTAAAGGACCGAAAACTGTAATAACCCCAAAAATACTATTTGTGAACAATCCAATTATGTAAATTGTTTAAGAAAATATCCACTAATCTTAATTAATTCAGATATGTTCAACGTTTTTGTTTCAATGGCCAAAAGTAGTGCTAATGGGGCTTTGATTAATTCAGGAAGTTAAATATATACTTTATTATTTAATAAAAAATATTTTTAAAGATAATTTTGTAAATAAAGAACAATTAATTATTGCATTAATAAAACAAGAAAGAGCAAAATCGAGATTAATAGATTCGTAAATAATTTTTAAAATTAAAATAAAATTAAAGTTTAACTTGAAGGTATAAATTACTTCAATATGAAATAAAGCAAATGAGAGAAGAATATAGCAAATCGAAAAAACAAAATTTAATTGGACGATATATAAATATGCAAAGAATGATTTATAATTTAATTCAAGTTGAAAGACAGTATTGGCAAATGTATGATATTCCAACACAAGCTATTTCTGAAACACCTTTTGATTATGTTATTAGGTAAATATTAGGGTTGTTAGCTTTGAACTTGAGAAAATTATTAAAATATTTGGAGTAATTAAATCAACTACAGAAGGGATTTTAAAGAAAGAGGAAAGTGATTCAACAGGATTTTATCAAGCAAAAAATTCCACAGGATTTATCAAGAATCTCCTACTCACTATATGTCATTTGATAACAGAGGAAAGGCCATTAGAGCCAGAGGTGTCGGAAATAGGAAGAGCCGAAAATCGGGACTGGCTCAAAAGTCGGAAATTGGAATTCCGACCCACCACTGCTTGATAAGTGTTCAGTTGTATTGGAGAAAATACTGACTCATTTCTTGGTTGTATCAATTAAAGATCAGCAAAACCCACTTCCGTGATACCGCGTCGGGATTTTTTTTTAACCGATGCCGGGATCCCGAAAAATCCCGGATCCTGAAAGCTCCCGAAAATTAAAAAAAATCTGGGATTTCGGGATTGGGATCCCTAAAAATCCCACCGGGATCCCGTCCCGCGCCGGTCTCTAGTATCGATACCAAATAATTATTTAAAATTTATCGTTTCCAGAAAAGCCTAAATCAAGTAAAGAAAAACAAAACAAAATTTTGGGACCTTTTATAAGTGTTCAGTTGTATTGGAGAAAATACTGACTCATTTCTTGGTTCTATCAATTAAAGATCAGCAAAACCCACTTCCGCAAAACCCGCTATTATTAAAATTAAAAATTCAAAACTTTTTCAAAGGATTTCTGAATTAATTGATGAAAGAAATATAAAAAGTGGTTCATCATCATTTACTAAAAATGGGGGTACGATAAAACAACTTCTTGGAGCTTCAATTTCTATTGCTGAAAGAACTAAAGAAGTATCTATTTGTAATTTATTAAGAGGTGAATGAGTTGATTCAGTCGATTAATTAATTTATTTTTAGCAAAATCATTGGAAGATTTAAACGAAATATATGCTCAATTAAGTATTGAACTTTACAAAATAATAAATAAATATCTCGGATTGAGACTTGCAATACATGAATTGTCTAAAGCTTATAAACACACAAGATATTATCCGTTAATACCTCGTTACAATTTGGTACTTAAATATATATTTTTAATTAATTTATTTATATAGCTAAAGGCAATGATTAAAAAGATATTACGTTCACCAACAGTATTAGAACAGGAAATTTAGAAGAAATACTTTTTTTAATTAATTTTTAATTATAAGATGTACATACATGCTTTAATAATTCTAAATTCATAAAATCTAATATATGTACATATCTTTGAATTATTATCTCTAACCACATAAATAGAGCGACTTTGGCTCTACTCCAGTTTATGCGTCCAATGAAAAGAAAATTGGATTTTTCTTAGTCCTCCTACGCCCACTGGGTCTGGGACCATTCCTTACCCTATTCCTCGAAGTTTCTTAAAGTTAAAATCGTTTTTCTGAAATTTTAAAAAATTGGCTGTAACTTTAAGAAACTTCGAGGAAATGGTCCCAGACCCAGTGGGCTTAGGTCCCGAACATGAAGAAATGTTGTGAAACCATATCCCAACTTTGCAATACCAAGAAAAATCATATTTTCATTTTATTGGACGCATAAAAGGCGACTGGACGCATAAACTGGAGTAGAGTCGCGACTTTTTTAGGTAAAGGTTTTACAACTGATCAGATCAGTCCAATTATGAAAAAGATACCGCATCTCAATATCTCTCAAATAACTTGAGCTGAAACGGCCTTTACCGCTATCAAATTATCGTTTATTAAAATATCGTTTCATCAAAATGTCGTCACAGCAAAAAGGGTCAAAACATCGTTTTTAAATAAAAGCCTGTTGAGTGCCAAAAGTTGAGAGGGTCGAAATTTTTTAATTTTCTTGAAATTCCTCGCAACTAATTAAATCCCACATTCGTGATTTTTCCTAAAAATTTTGCGAGCTGAATGTGTAAAGTCTCACAAATAAAAAATGACAAAGTGCAAGGTCCCGTCCGCACAAATACTTAATGATATTGCCCAATATTTTTTTCTGAACTAGAATTTTTATAGAAATCAGGAAAAGCTACTTAATAAATAATGCAACGTGCACAAGCTAAACATGCAAAAATATTATTTCACCGTCTTCACGATCAAGCATCGACATCTAATTCAAATTATTTGAGATATATTCAGAATAGAAAAAATAATACTTGTACTTCTTTTAATGGAAGGTAAAAAAATTATTTTTAATTAAAAAATGTTTTATTTGGTCGAGGGCCCTTTACTAGGGTGGGGGCTAACTCGAGGAATTCAACTCACGGAACAGACAGATTGCGGAACGGACAATTCACGGAATGACCAAAACACGGAATATTTTAGAAATCAGAATATTCTTAGGAATCAGAATTTTTCAGAATTTTTTTAATTCTGATTTCTAAAAATATTCTGACTTTTAAAAATATTTTGATTTCTAAAAATATTCTGTGTTTTGGTCATTCTGTGAATTGTCTGTTCCGTGAGTTAGTTCGACACGCTTTATTAAATCACAAATAAATATTTATTTTTAAGTGTTATTGATAATAAAAATATTTCTGAACATTCTGAATATGCTCATCTTTCTGGTGGAAGGCGTTGGGAATTTCGTGCTGGGTCAATGGCTCGTTTAGCTTCTGGTTCAGTTGTACTAAATACTGATGAGGATAATGCGGTTTGGATTTTTTAATTTTTAATAATTTTTTTTAAAGATTTTGGGGACAGTTGTGTGTAAATATACACAGAAATTTTTAAATGAAGAGGAAATACTTGAAGAAATTGAAGAGAATGAACGTTTAGAATTAAACAAAAATAATGAAGTTGATGAAGAATTTGAAGAGGAAGAAATCTTGGAAAGAAAGGAGAGTGAATATGGGATTGGGGAAATAACAACAGATCAAATAAATGAAAAGAAAATTGAAAAAAATAAAAAAATTGAGAATGATTCGGTATTTTTTAATAGAAAGTTTTTATTTAATGGGGGGTAGTCGAAAACTTTGAAGCCCTATAACTTTTCGAATTGGGGTCGGAGCCAAAAAAGTAAAAAATTGGCAATAGGTTATCGACCATTCTCTACACGTTGGTATAACTTTTATTTAAAAATTTTTGGTCACAGTTCCAAATGTTTCCTTGTCGGGTAGATTTTAGTTTTTTGAATCAGATAGGTAGGATTTTGGAATTTTTTTTGGTATTTTTTAAGAAACTAAATTCGACTTAATTCGTTTCATATTTTTTCACTGTTAATAGTGAAGAATCCCGTTGAATTAAAAAATTTTGTTTGAAAAAAGGAGGGCTTATGGGTTTTGATTAACCGCTAGCTTTTAAGCTATCCTATAAACATCAATATACCTCATAAACTTTTATTAATAGAATTTTTCTGGTCTTCCACTTACTGTTGATTTTCGACCATCTTCCTCTGCTCTAGGTCGTATTCCAATGAATTATTTTCGAAGGGATATGTACAACAACGATCAAGTTTTTTTCTTATTTAAATTTTTTAAATTTTCTTAATTTAAAGGATGTTGCGTTTTCTAGAGTTATTGATCGTTCTATTCGCCCCACAATTCCTGAGAATTTTCCTCACAAGACACAGGTTGTTTAATTTATTTTTTAGAGAGGTAAATTATTTTTTAGATTGTGTGCAAGCCTTTAGCATTAGATACAGAAACTGGAGATGCTGTTATTATGGGAATTAATGTTGCTTCTGCAGCTTTGGCTGTTTCTCCTGTTCCTCAAAATTGTTTAGTTGCAGCTGCTAGAGTTGGAATTATTGACGAAAAGGTTTTTAAATTTATTAAGTTTTTATGTCCTTTGTTTAACTGGGCCTTCAAGTTTCCATATTTTATTTAACAATAAGAAACGAATTTGAAAGATCTTAATTGGATTTTGTGAATGTCTGGTCTTCCACTTACCGTTTATTTTCGACTATCTATGTACATCTTTTACATGCTTAATTTGCATGAAAATAACTTTAAAAGTAAAAATTAGTTGTTGTCGTTTTTGTTGACGGTATTTATTTCCCTTAGTTTGAGGTCAATAGGAAAGTTCTACAAAAACTTGTCTTGTTTACCAATTTTTATTTAAAAATTTTTTGAAGATAATTGTTAATCCTTCACACGAGCAATTGAAACATAGCAGTCTTGATCTTGTGTTGACTGGGACTGCAATTGGAAAGAAAAGCAAAGGAAATAATGATTATGTAATTATGGTAGAAATGGAAGGAAAAGAAGTTGAAGCTGAGAAATTTGGTTTGTTTTTTGTTATTGGGGAATTAATACTAGTAGAGATCGGCTAAATCACATTCCCGGGATCTCATAACGGGGTTTTTTCAACATTTTGTACGGGACGGGATCCCGCGGGATTAATCCCGTTTACCGCGCAAAACCCGGATTTCTGGGACGGGATTCCGTAAAATTCCGTGAGGGATCCCGTCCCGTGCTGATATCTCAATATTAGCCATTGAGAATTTTTAAAAATTAAAAAGAATGTTTTTAATTTAAAAAATAATTTTAGTTCAATGTATTCAACAAGGATTTGATGAAATACGCCTCACACAAGGAGCAATCGAAAGATTAGCTAAAGTAGTTGGACATGAAAAATATAAGGTTTTTTGATCTATAAGAATAATTTTAAAAATTCTTTTAAGACATCTTTAAACGAATTTCCTGCTGATTTACTTGAAAAAGTTTCTGTTTGTGAAGGGGCAATAGAAGCTATTTTAAAAGAACATTCTCACAGTAAATCTTCACGTGGGGAAGCAATAGAAAATGTTTCTTATTTTTTTTGGATTTAAATAATCTTTTTAAAGATTTTCCAAGGTTGGCGGTTATTAATGGACAGACAGTCACAGACTTATAGTGAACAAATACTCAGGACTGTTTTTGGGGATATTGTAAATTCTGTTTTTTAAATATTTTTTATTTTATTTTTCAGACCAAAAAAGTCCATAGAAATATTTTATTGGAAACTGGTATTCGAATTGATGGACGGAAATCCGATCAATTTAGGCCAATAAAATGTAAAGTTAATTTATATAGAAAATTACATGGGTCAGCAATTTTTCAAAGAGGACAATCTCAGGTAGATAATATTTCTGTTTATTTCTATGATTTTTGTGGCCATAGTTTTTATTTTACTAGAAAAAGATTCTTTTATTAATAGTCCACATCAAATTCCGAAAGACAAACAATAAACTACCAAGGGCGTAGGGTTGGTTTCAGGAGGCTAAAATAGGGGGTGAACCATAATTTTTGCGTTTACGTTGACGTTCCGAACGAAAATTTTTTTGTACTTATTTTTATTTTTTCAACGCCGCAGGCGAAAATTTAGATAATTTTGTGGATTGATCACTTTTCTGATCATTTTTCTCTTAAAATTTTTTTATTTTCCCCATTTCAGGGGGGGGGCTATAGTCCCAGAAGCCCCCCCCCTGGCTACGCCCTTGCTACGTTTTAACATTTTTTCAATTTTTAGGTTTTTTCTACAGTTACATTTGATTCTCCACAAGCAGCTTTTCATCCTGATGCTATAGCGGTTTTAATTTTTTACGTATTTAAATTTTTGGTTATATTTAGCAACTTTTGGGTGCTCAACGGAAAAAATCTTTTATGTTGCATTATGAATTTCCTCAATTTGCTACAAATGAAATTGAGAAACCAGGTAAAATTTTTTAAAAAATTATTTTTATTTATATTATTTTCCGTTAAATTAAGGTGCCAGTTCGGATCGAAGAGAAATTGGGCATGGTCTACTAGCTGAAAAAGCACTTCGGAATTTGGTGCCAGAAGATTTTCCTTATACAATTCGATTAGCTTGTCAAGTAAAAAAATTTTTTTAAATTACTTTTGTAAATATTTTTGATCATTTTTTAGTCAACAATAATATTTAATTTTTTGGTTTCTAACAAAAGTGGGCCTGAATTCCGATTTCCGATGTTTTTCTCCTTTCGATTTCCGACAGTTCAGATTTCCGGCATTTTCGTCATTTCCGACCCACCTCTGGTTCCTAGCAATGATCACACTAATTTAATTTATAAGAAAATATCTCATATTTCAATTAATTAATTTTTAATAATTACTGGGTTATTACCACTCTTTAATCGCAATATTAGTCAAAATTCTGTTTTATTTAATAAATTTAAAGGTATTAGAATCTAATGGAAGTACTTCAATGGCATCAGTTTGTGCTGGTTCTATGGCTCTCTTCGATGCTGGAGTGCCTTTGTTATCTAATCTTGTAGCCGGTTTAGCATTGGGATTAATTACAGAAAAAAGTGAAGATGCACAATTTAATAATGAAATTAATAAAAATGAAAGTGTAAGGTTTTTTGAAAATAATTTTTTAATATTTTATTCATTTTTAAGTAATTCTCCCAAAAATAAATTTCCTAATAAATATTTACTTTTAACTGATTTGGCCGGTTTTGAAGATTTTGCCGGTGATATGGATTTTAAAATTGCTGGAACTTCAAAAGGTTTTACAGCAATGCAAATGGACTTAAAAATTTGTGGAATTCCTTTAAAGTAAAGAGGAAAAATTTTATTATAATAATTCGATTTTAGAGTATTTCGTGAAGCTTTGAAACGGGGACAGTCTGGAATTGAACACGTTCTTGCTCTTATGAGAGCTGAAATTCCTGAACCAAGGTAAATAATTTTTTGAAAATTTTTTTCAAAAAAAATTTTTTATAGACCAGAAATGAAGTCTTCTGTTCCTATAATTGAATTAATGCAGTTACCAATTTATAAAAGGCCAATTTTGTTTAGATCTGGGGCATATAATGCAAAATTGATTGAAGCTGAAACTGGTGTTAAGGTAAAAATTTTTTTAGATTTTTCGGGAAAAAATTTTTTTAATTTAGGTTAGTTCAGAAGACGATGCAAATATTCAATTATTTGCTCCAAATCCCGAATCTTTAGACAAAGCAAAATTAATGATTGAAAAATTAATGGTAGAACAACAGGAAGAACAGTACCAATTTGGAGCTTTTTATAAAGTAATTTTTAATTTAATTTAAATAGAGTTTCAAATTTAATTTTTAAAAAGGCTGAAATTGTTCGTATTCTCGAAGGTGGAATTCATGTTTCTTTGAAAGAAGGTGGCCGGCATATTTGGATTAGAAATTCTGATCTTTCTTCTGCACCGAGTCGACAAAATGCACAGGCGCTTGGTTATGAGGTTTTCTTTTGAAAATTCTAAAATTTATTAAATTCTTTTGATTTACTTTTTTCTTCAAGTCAGCTCTCGTAATTTTTGAATTTATTTGGAGCTGTTGGAGAACTTGAGGATCGTTAATATTCATTTTTTCGGAACTATAGTATTTATAATATTTTAGCCCTTAAAATAAAACTGGTGGAAAATTTTGCGATTAACTGACAGAAATCTTGTTTAATGTCAGTATATTCTCGTTAGAAACCTGTGTAATATTTAGTTTGGAATTCACCCCCTTTTTTCCTTTCTATTTTTTCCTAGTTTCTCATTTTATGGCAAATTATGTATCATTCGAACTCACTTAAGTGAACAAAGTTGTGACTGTTTAGTTTACCCAACGAGGATTTACTTAGCTTCAGAATTTTGGTAAGAATGATCAGATCTAGCCATTCATGGTATTATTCAACAAAGCTCGAAGAGCTCTTTCGAGGGATATATGATGTAGGAAAAAAGCTCAACAAACAAGCTCAAAATGATCAGAGAAACGGTGAAAAAAGGGGGGCAAATTCCAAATTATTACCGAAACCCATATCCTTGAGACGTTTAAATTGTTGAAAAATAATACGATTTTTGATTGTTTTGTTCTTTTATTATTTTATTAATTTTTATAAAAATTTATTTTTAACAGGTTGGACATAAATTAACAGTACAATATTTTGGCCGGGATCAACATACAGGACAACACAGACTTACAAGAAAAACACTTCAAATGTTTGATCCTCCCGTAACAATTTAAAAAATATTTTCTTTTAAAATTTTTTCCAATTTTAGGTTCAAAATTTATTTAAAGAAAAACAACCTTTAAATGAAAAATCTCTAAACGAGAAAATACAAAAGGAAACAAAAAGTTAAAATAAATTTAAAGTTATTTTGTTAGAATTCTTATTGTTATATTTATTATTTTTGAAAAAAATTATTTGTTATTTTTGTATTAATCGGAATTGTTGGTTAATGAGGTAATACATAGAAATTAAATAAGGCTTTTCAGTATTTTTTAAAAATTTATTTAAAAATATTTTTATTTTCTTTTAAATTTTTTATTTAAATTTCATAATGTTGCACTTTATAGCCACATATATTTAATTAAAAAATAAATAAGCGTTGACTTTTTATGTAATTGCTAGACTAGACATAAATAATAAATATTTCTAAGTAAAGCTGCCTTTTCGATTTTCTATCAAAGATTTTCTACATTTAAACAGAGAAAAATCGTGTCTCCTCATTTCCAACACTACCTATTTCCTTCTTGAATTTAAATTAAAATCAGGCATTGACCAGCCATTTTTCCCTTTATTTTAAATAAAATTTTTATTTAATATTCCCTTATAAAATTTAAGGGTGGGGGCTAACTCAAGGAATACCAACTCAAGGAAAAGACAAGTCAAGGAACGACAGAAGTCCGACCAACTCATGGAATACTATTTTAAAAATCGAAATTTTTTGAAAAATCTGAATATTTAAAAAAATAAGAATTTAAAACAAATTAGATACTTCAAAAAACAGAATTTAAAAATAAATTCTGAAAAATCCTGATTTTTCAAAAAATTTTCTGATCTTTAAAATTTTCCATGAGTTGGTCGCTTGTCTTTTCCCTGACCTGTCTTTTCCTTGACTTGTCGTTCCTTGATTTGTCTGTTCCTTGAGTTAGTCCGACACGAAAATTTAATTTATTAAAAAAATTGTTTAAATATTTTTAAAAAATGTTTAAAATTATTTTTATTTTTCTTTGTTTTTATTTAATAGAAAGTCAACAAAATAAACTTTACCCAAAAGGTCTTTTTAAAAAAAATTATTTTTTTTAAATTTAAATTAAATTTTTCCAGAAATTAATGAATTAAAATATTTTTTTGGAATTCAAATAAAAATTCAAAAAATTTTTGAAGAAAATACAAAAAAATTGTTAAATATTTTTGAAGATAAAAATAATTATTTTGATGTAGAAAATGTTAATTTGGAGGAAAATAATTATGTTAAACAAATTTTTTTAAATTCTCTTAATTTTGCTTTGGAATTATCTGAAGATATTTTAAATATTGAAAAAGAATCTGATTTTTCTAGATTAGTTTTCTTTAAAGGTTATTTTACTGCAAGAAGAAATAAATTAAGAAAATGTTTGAAGATATGGAATGAGGAAGCAAAAAATCATAAAAATATTAATGAAGCTTTTTATTTATTTTCGGTTAAAAATTTTATTTTTAAACGGTTTTACCTCTTTTATAGATACCGTCAATACCAGGGGCGGTATCTGTGCACAGAACGCAGAATCTGTGGACAATTGAAATAGCCCCAGATAACCTCAGTTTACATGTGTTTTTTAAAATTAGAGTTGCACCCCGACCCGAACCCCGACCCGAAACAATTCGAAAACCCCGTACCCCGACATACCAGCCCCAGAGCGTTGAGGTGTGACCCTATTTAAAATTTCGTTAAACAATAGGTAAAGAAAGGGATGTCTAAACTATACCCCAAATTTTATGTATATTTTTTGTGGTAATTATACTATATTTAATTTTCATGTGATTTTTAGGTAAAATTGAGATAAACTTATTTATAAATTTATTTTTTAGTTAGACTATGAAGAATTAATTAGATTTCCATTAACAATATTTGTTTCTGAAGTCGGTGGTAATTTATCATTGTCAGATACTCCTTTAAAAAAATATTTGGACAATTTAATAAATGAATTATATTCTTTAAATGATGAAAAAAAGAAAAATAAATTAAAAATCAAATTAAAATTAATTAAACAAGAACAAATTAATTTTTTAACAATTTTTATAAAAATTAAAATTTTTGAAAAAATATTTGAAATGGCAACTAGGGCTTACCTTTTTCCACAAGATATTGAAAAGGTATTTAATAAATAATTAAAAAAATTTTTTGAGTAATATGGAATATAGATAATCCCCCAAGATTATCTACATGATTTAAAGGTTTAGTACAAGATTTATTTTTCCCCTTATAGTATTAGTATAGAATCCGTGAACTATTATTAAGGAGAGTTTGTAATTGTATATATCAAATTAATTTTTTTAAATTTATCAGCATATATCATTTATGATATACCCTAGAAAAAATAATTTTTTACCCTAAATTTATTGAATAAAAGTTTTTTTAACTTTTCCACTTATATTATACCCAAAGTATTAGTACCCCATGATTATATACATGATTTCAAGGTTTAGTACAAGATTTAATTTTTCCCTTCTACTAAACTTTTACATCCAAGATTATAGATTTTAACCAAGATCAAAATGCCTTTGAAAGAAAAATTGGCGATACGTATTTTTATGTATGTACATACATATTAAAATAGAATTCTTTTTCTTCTCTCTCTTTTTCTCTATTTTGTTTTTCTTCTCTCGTATCGATTTTTCCGTTCTCATTTCTATTTTTTTATTTTATTATTATTTTACTATTTTAGTTTTATTAATATTTTAAATAGTATGTCCCGTCGAAATAAACCTTCTTCTTCAACTAATGTGCCTAATGACTCTGACGACTCTGATAATGGTGGGGACGATTGTGATTTTCGGTCTTTTCGTGATTTTCATTTAGACAAAAATCAAAATCAATCGGATCAGCCAGGTTTTGTTAATTGATCACATATAAATATTGTTTTTATTTTTTTAAAAGCTGGTGGGGACGGGGGGTACAATGTTGCACCGCCAAATCCCTGTGGGGACGGGGACGCTTTTACGAAGGACTTTTGTGCCAAACTGAATATTTCTGAAAAAAAGTAACCTAAATTTTTTTAAATTTGTAAATTTGCTACATAATGCAGTAGAGGCAAATTTGTACATTTTTCTACAAATACTAAAATGGAAGATGGGAATGCTAGCCGAGTTGGGGAAAGGAGCAATTGTGGGGACGAACGAAGGCGTAGCAAGGATGCTTTGCAGCCGCCGAAGTTTACTACTGGGCCGTCACGATCCGAAGAATTGCAGAAGCAACTTCACGAAAGACCAGGCCTTAAGCGTGGGGACGCTAGACTTTATGGATGTTACTACTGCGGCGGATCGCATAGAGTCAAGGATTGTCCTCATAATGTGACCACCTATGCAGGTTTTTTGAAATTTTTTTTATAAATTGATCATTTATTATTTATTTGTTTTTTTTATTATCATTTATCATTTATTTATTAATTGATCATTTAATTTCCTCGAAGAAATCTCTTCTTTAAGTGCCATTCTGCCAAACACGACAGCGCTTGGTGTCCGCAGCGTCACCCATGGAGTTTTAGTAAGTGACTGCAATTTGTTTATTTTGCATTTTTTTAGTTCCAGGGCGTAAGCGGTGCTGGAATTGCGGCCTTCCTGGCCATAAAGACAGTGCTTGCACCAAAGAGACGTATGTGGGGACGTCGCAATTACCGCAATGGATCATTGCTCTACGTGACGAAAGTTATCTTCAATACAAACGCCAGCGTGGGGACGACGCAAAACAACTGAATAACGATGATGCAGGGGTAACTAACGATATTGTAAATTAGTATTAAATAATTTTTAGTCTGTTTCTGGGACAGATTTCCAGGCACGTTACGTGGGGACGCCGGCGCAAAAACGAGACAAGCTGATTGCAGATGGCTTATTGGATCCAACTTCAACGATCAGAGAAGCTTTGAAGTTTTTGAATGATGCCGGGATTGCAGGCGTAAGTTATTGTATTAATGTAACAGTACTAAATCAGAATTTTCAGCCTGTACCAGCCCAAGTTCGTGCCAACCGTATGGCAGCTGCTGACCGAACTGGAAACCGTTTTTGTCGGTTCTGCAACAAAATTGTGCATCACTACACAGAGTGCCTTTACTGGCAGCGTGGGGACGATGGCAACAATGGTACAGCGGCGGGAAAAAAATTATTTTTTCTAGGGTATATCATAAATTATATATGCTGATAAATTTAAAAAAAACTATTTGGATATATACAATTACAAACTCTCCTTAATAATAAGTCACTGATTCTTTACTACTATACTCTAGTGCAAGGGGGAAAAAAATCTTGTACTAAACCTTGAAATCTTGTAGATAATCTTGGGGTACTAATACTTTTATTTTTTCTAAAAGCAAATATATCATTTCACAATAGTTTCAGTTAAGTTAAACTTTGACATTATACTTTAACTTAAAAAATCGTGGTGAAGTTATCAGGCCAACTTACAGCAGAGCTATAACTTCGTTCAGAGTTGTCGAATTCGGGGCGCCCTGGTATGGTTTGATGCGCCTCGACGAGCTGAATCGGACCATACCTGGGCGTCCCGGATTCGACAATTCTGAACGAAGTTATAGCTCTGCGGTAAGTTGGGCTCGCGGTAAGTTGGGGTGTACTCGGTATTATACCCTTACATTATTGCACCCTTAGGCATTTTAACGGCTCAAAGTGCATAATTTGTTTAAAATACTATTAAAAAGAAAATAAATTTTTAGCACAAATTATTTATAAAAGCGGAAGATTTATACAATTCTGCGACAAAAAATCAAGCAATTTTATCTGATGCTTTAACTGCTTTAGATTTTTTTGTTGCCATAAATTTATTTCCAAAAAATAGTTTAAATAAAGAAAGTGAAATTAAAAAAATATTTTTTAATAAATTAATAACTGAGAAAATATTTTTAAAATATTGGGGAAAAATGCCGAATTTGATTGGATTAAAAAATTATGAAGAGGGAGCTTATGAAGAGTTAGTTGGAAATAAAATAAAAAGTTCTGCAGATTTGGATGTTTATTTAGAAAGAAAATTGTTAGAAAATATTGCTAAACTTGCAATTTATTTTGAAGAATTTAAAAATGGATGAGAAATTCGAACAAATAAAAATTACCGTAAATTAATATAACCCCTGGGTTTAGATTTTTCAATGGGTCACTTTAAGTTATAATTTTGTTTTAAAGAATTAAAAGATTTTATCAGATTAATTTAATATTCGAAAGAATTTTAAACATTTGTTAAACTAAATTGAAAGGAGATGTAGAGTGGAAATGACGAAAGTGTCAAAAATCGGAAATCTGACTGAAAGTTATAGATGATAATTTTTGTGGCCCTTTATCCCGTGTTACTCTCAACTCTATTTTCCCAAATCCCCATCCCGTTATTTTTATAAAACCCCAGATATATCCAACAATTTAACACCCAAAATTATTTTTTTTAATTTTCCAAATTATTTTCTTTTAAATTAAGCCCAATTATTTCTTTTAAGAGTAGGAACATTTTCAAATTTTAATTTTTGAGCATCATTTATTTTCCAAGCAGAATTGCCATTAAAATTATTAATTTGAACATTAACAAAGCTGCTATTGAGTAATTGGGTTATTTGTATTGGAGAAACATTTGTTAAATTTAAATTTTTGACTAACTATAAATTTAAAATTAAATTAATTATTTTTGTTTTCATCACTTAAAAGTAATGTAATTCAACCCAAGCAAATATTTGATCAAATTAATCAAATATCCCCCAAGGAGTTACCCTCAATAACAGTGAATAACAATGTCCTAACTTATTAGATCACGGTGATCAGTGTTAGATCACTCGACGAGCTCATTGCTACAAATTGTATAATTGATCCGATAACTTTTTTTAAATTTCTTAACAAAAATATTTATCTTCCAGTATTTTTAGTTTATTTCCCCTTGAGCCCAATAAAAATTGGACCTTTCAGTTAAAAGTTATCAGGTCTGGCGTCGAATTACTCCAATTATTTAAAATAAACTTACAATATTTTTTAAATAAGTTTTTGGATAATTAGTCTGGCTTTTATCATATCCCTCCATTAAAATTGAAGGTCCAGAATTTCCTTTATTAACATTATCTATTGTTATTTCACTAAATTCAATTTCTTCAAAATTTGCTGAATTTACTGCTTTTTGGAATTTTAAATCACTTGTTTCATCCAAATAATTTAATGTTAAAATTATAGCACTTCCTTCTTCTGTTATTCCATCTAATTGAATATTTCCTAAATTTGCTGTATTTTTACTTCCTACATTTAACATTGCAATATTTCTAAATACAGCATTCATTACACCTCCACCCATTGGCGGGCTACTTTTACAACGAATACCATTTGATGCTGAGACTATTACATTGTACTTAAATAGATAAATATATAAAAATTATCTTCCATCAATGGAGCCTCCTTTAAAAAAAGGGGTGTAAGGGATGATTTGTTTACCATAAACAACGTCATTTATGAAAATCTTTGTAAAACTTTTAAAATTATACTAAAATTGGTTTAATGGGAGAACATGTAAGGATAATTAATAGTTAACTTAGCTCTGTTTCCTTGGAAGCCCTTCTCTGGGGGCTTTCAAATATACTATAAATTATATTTAAATACCTCAACGAGTAAATTTTTTATCCAAGCAGCTGTATGACTTCCAGCTGACGGTGCTCCATGACTGTGTCTAATATAATTGTTTCTTATGAGTATACATTCTGTTGGGTTTCCATTTTCGCCGGTACGACCAGCACCTGCAGATAAGGCAAACGCATCATCTCCAGTATCCAATAAATTATTAAGTATTTGGACATTGGAGCAACCGCCAAGATCAATTCCATCTCCATTAGTTACGGCATATGTTAGTACTCGGTTGTTAATTATAGCCTTTAAGATTTCTTTTAAAACGAATCCCAATCGGTGGTGGGATATCCTAATGTATCTAGCGCTCTAACATAACGAGTTTGCCGTTTGATTTTAAAAATTCATCTCCATCCATAAGAAACTTCAAAAAACTATCAAAACACAAAAACCCAAAACACCCTCAATTACCCGCCAAAATAAACCTACAATGTTACTGCTATAATCAAACTCCAATCCATGAAAAGAAGGATTTTTGAATGTTAAATTGCCTCCAATAAATAAATTTGTTACACGATAAAAAGAAGCTAAAGAAGAACGAGAACTTTGGAAGGAACCTCCTCCAGATAATTGGCTTTTTGCAAGAATTCCTTTGCTATAATCATTTGAATTTCCTTTAGAATATATAGGCATATCATTTCCAACTTCATCTTCCAGAACTTGGTCAGTTTCCCAGCCATTACCATTAAATGATCCCTTTCCAGTAATCCGAAGATTTGTTACTGGTTTGTCTATCTTTAATATTTAGGGAAATAAATTTAAAATCAAACAATTGAAAGACACGTCTTTTCTTGAGCATATTGGGTGGTAATTAAAATAAGGGGTTAACTACAATATTAGAGAATGATATTATAGTAGAGGATTTGATGATTTAATGTTATACTCCGAATCTTAAAAGCAGAAAATTCAGGGTCTTCTCTAGTCTCTCTCTAATTTGAATGTTTGGAGTTTGGGTTGAAAAATTTTGGGTCGGAATTATGGCCCAGTCTATTTTAAATATTAAAAGAGATTTTATAATATTAAAATAATATAAATAAATTATAATTTAACTTACAACATTAAGAAGAGATGGAGGTTTGCCAGATCTTCCTCTATTTTTAGGAAAATCGCCACTTTCACCCGATCCTTGTAAAATAGCCCCTTCAGCCAATTCCAACGTTAATGGTGCTTGTATAAATAAAGCCCCAGAAATGAAAGTACCCTCTGGGACTAAAACTTTACAGTCAAAAGCAGAAGAGGTTTGCCCACAATCATTTATAGCTCCCTGGATAGCATCAGTATTTATCGTTTTTCCGTCTCCATTAGCACCTTTCTCAGTAATATCAATAACCTAAATTGAAATAAAATATAAATAACTTAAATTCTTTGATCGAACTTATTAATTTAGTATATTTTCTAAGAGCTAATTGGCGAAAAAATCAAGAAAAAAATCGTTCAGGAATTGGACCTTATTAAGCTTTTCAGAGAAAATTGACATTTAATTTCACTGTTATTGCTGTATCTCCTTCAATATTTAATCAAAATTTTGAAATTATTGGGTCTTGTTAAGTCAGATAATTAATTTTTTTAAAATTTTTGTCCATAAAAACTACATATTTACTTTTCCATAATTTTGAGCAGTTTTTGCAGTAAGAGTAACACTATCTTCAGATTCTCCATCAGAATACACTGCCCGAATTGTAAATTTATAGACAGTATTTGCTTCTAAATTGTCTACATAAAAGGAGTTAAACAATGTTGGAACATGAAATTTAATTTTGTCAACATTATGGAAATTATTTATATATGGGGCTGAAATTGCATAATTATTAGCATTTTCTGAAGAAGAACCAATTTTCTAAAAAATTTAATTTTTTAGACTTTATTTCTCAATATTTACATTTCCATTCATATAAACATTATAATCAAGTAATCCTTTGTCAGTATTGTCAGGTCTATTCCAAGTTATCCAAATACTTTTTTGGTCGTAAGCAAGAGTTGGAACACACGGATTTTGAGGTATATCTGTATTACTTCCAAAATTTGGAGTTACAATGGCACAATTACAAAAAGGTGATAGTCCTGTGTTATCATTATTATTGTTGGTGTTGCTTTCAAGTGGAGCTTTTGGTGTTGTTTTCTTTTCTGTAATTTGTAATTTAAATAGAGTTTTGTTGTAATGGACCCTCTAAGAACGGCATTATTTCTCATAAAACATGTATGTAAATAAGGAATATTCCGATATGTTAAGTGCCATTCAGAGGTGGGTCGGAGTTCAGATTTCCGGTTCTTCCGATTTTCGACACTTCTGACTGTTTCGACCCACCTTTGGTGCCAATATTTAATAAAATGTATCGAGTTATTCACATTTTATGTAATTTTTGATATTACAATTATTTTAATGTAAAAATATTTTTTTTAATTTTTTAATTTATTTTTAAGATTATGGAGTCTTTATCCCACATCCATCATATAATTCAATAATATTCAGAAAAATCCTAGGCAGCTACAGTCAAAAAACCCAAAAAAACTTTTGGCAGGATTTTTTAAAAATTTTATCGGATTAAAAACAAAAATTAAATTAAAATTTACTTTTCCCGTCAACAATTCCAATAATTAATACAAAAAGAAAAATAAAATATTTTTTGGTTAGCATTTTTAATTTTTTTAAATTAAATTTAAATAAAATGAATTTTTGTAAATTTAATTAATTTTATATAAAACCAAAATTCTCTATTTCTTTATTGCCTCCAAAATTTTATTTATAAAAATTAATAAAATTAATCGTGGTTAATAAACAGATGCTCAAATTTTTTATATAAATTTATTTAAAATATTTTTTATTTAATTTATTTACCAATTTCCGGTTTAAAAATTTTTTATTCAAATTTTCTTTTTTAAAATTTTTAAATAGAAAATAAAAAAAATCTTCGAAAATCTTCAATTGAAGATAAAACTCGCCGTTAATTTTTCGTTATTTTTTAAAATTTTTTTAATGTTGGTTCAAACAAAAAAGTATATCTATTATATACTAATTTATATTTTAAAAATTTAAATTTAAAAATTTTTAAATAATTTTTTGGTAATTGGGAAAAAATTTAATTTTAAATAAATCTTAACAGAGCCTAAAGTTATTTGACATCGATATAAATAAATATAAAATTTTATTTTTAATTGAAAAAATTTATAATACATAAATTTTGTAGAGCTCGGGTACATACCGAAAATAATTACCCTTGGTAATTATTGTTTCATCCACTCGCTGGAGGGGGATTTAATAGGGCGGAAGTGCTGGATTTTGGGTATATCTCAGGTAAAATTGATTTATTTTTTGATTTTAAGTCTTAAAATTTCCCAATAAAAAAATTTGATAATAACTTTTTAAATATTTTTAAAATTAGCATAGGACATCTAGTGGGCAATTATTAGAGAAGGTAATTACTTGAGAGAGGGTAATTATTTCAGCATTTACGGTATTAGAGATATTTTTAAAATGTTATATGGTTTTTATAGAATGTGTTTTTAGATTGTATTATGTATTTGGATTTTATAGATTCGAGCTAATGTTAGAGACTCCAAACTGTTCCGCTCCTAACTCCTTCTCTATACAATAAGTTTTGAAGGATTTATATTGTACATAGGTATATAGGTATATATATTTAATCTTAAAATTGATCACAAGGTGCAACTCTATTTCCATTTCTTTTAATATTTTTCTTCGTCCCTTCAGTTTGATTATTATTATTATTATTTATTTCGGGATTATTTAATGTAGTTGATCGAAAACCAGTGACAGAAAAAACTAAAAAAATTTTTAATTTTTTAAATTTAAAATTAATTTACTTGATACACGTCGAATAATTCCAAAAAGAGACCCAAAAAGTAATAATTCACGATTAAAACATTTACGATATTCTTGGCTATAAAATTGTATTTAATTTTTATTTAATTAAAATTTTGAAGAGTTTGCGGAATAGAATAATTTACCTATAGGTAACCTATATCTTTTGCCTATAGGAAAATGTATCTGGAATCTTATCAAATATTGAAAAGCAATTTTTCTTAAATTTTATATTAAAAATAATTTTTATTATAAAATTATTTATTATTATATTTATTATTAGAAAGTTGTGAATAAACAAATAAATTTATTTAAAACAGGACAGAGAATACTTACAAAATTTGAAAATCCTTGAGTTTGGGGAATTAAGAGATAGGCTCTTCAAATATTAAAAGGAAGAGCCCATTTCTAGAGAGAGTCCATCTCAAACGGTAGACGGAAGCAGAAAAGAGGCCATCCCCAATCTTCTAAAATCCAAATATTTTTACCTGCAGATATAAAGAACGACAGCATTTAAAGCAACCCCTAAATTCAATAAAGTTCCAAAGGCTAATTCAATTATCCAAACATTAATTTCCCCCAAATGGAAAGGTGGAAGAATTACTAAACGAACAGCTGCAGACATTAAATAGCATCCAATGGTTACGGAAACGATTGTAAACATTGATTTAAATAATTTTGCATTATTTTTACTTTCTTTACAAACGGCTGTATTTGTTGCTTTAAATAATTAAATTAGGAAGTTTTTTTTTAATTTTATTTATTAGAAGTTTATGGGATTGACTACTAAATGAGTGCATGTATGTCTTGGTATATTATTTTAGTCTAGGAATATGTAGGTTAAGTTTTCATTAATGCATGCTTTAAATTTTATAAGATTTTTGTTCTCTTCTAAGACTAATAATAAAAACAGCGCTAATGATTCTGAACATTTGTTAAATTATCAATTCAATGCTTAATCACCCTCGAGATTAGTAAAGGTTTAACTTATACCAGGTACATATATGGAAATGTTTTTAATAAGTATAAAACATAGCTAGGCAATTCCTTAATGGAAAACACAACCCTTGTTTAAATATTTCTTTAGAAGAGTCTCAAAATTTTAGATTAATAAATATTTACCTGTTTGTCGATGAACAGAAACAAAAATAGCAATATAAAATACAATACTTAAACTATTACATAAACCCATATAAACAAAGAAAAGAGGTTTAAATTCAAAAAGGAAAACATCGCTTAAAGTGCCAGTTTGAGGGACGTCTGGAAATCTTGTAGCAATATCCCAAAATTTTAATCCAACTAAAGAACCACAACCAAGCGAGAAAATAACCATAAAACCAAGATAAAATTTCTTTTTAACATTTTCGTGCCTAGAAAATTTAGTAAAATATTTTTAAGGGTTTTTTAGTTTTTTAAAGAACAGACAAACATTTTTTCAATGAAGGAAATTCTAAAATACCTCCTAAGCCTAAGGAGCAGGGGTGTGCCGTTTCGCCTTTCATCTTACACCATATCTTGCCTTTTTGGACTTTCACCTTTCATCTTTCATGTTTCGGTTTTTAAAATCTGTTTCGGCACACCCCTGCTAAGGAGGTATTTTAGGAGCCTTTTCAGTTTGTAATAACTTATTTAAAACACTAACCAGCTTGGGTAGCTAACTTGTAAAAGTCTATCCAATCCCGTCAATGCTATAGTCACAACACTCGAACTACACCCCCAAAGAGGTATAACTTCCCAACAAAAAACTGTCCAATATGAAATAAAATTTCTTCCAGACAAAGCAGAAACTAAAAAAACTTGATGGGCAAATCCATGAAGAAATTCATAAAAAGCATTTAAAGCTAACAAAAAGCTTGATGTCCCTCGAAGTGTTCTGGAATTTAAAATAGGTATAGAAATTTAACGCTATTGGGGGTATGGCAGCATTTTTTCATTATATGTAACACATGTAAAATTAAAATAATTTAAATTAAATTACTTATAATATTTAATTGTAACATAAATAATTGAAGCATTCATAAAAATGCCTGGAATTACAATAATATTTAAAACAATTGACATAAAACAAAGCATAAACGATGGACCAGCATTTTTATATGTAACATACATCTTAAATTTTAATTAAATTATTTATTAATTTTAAATAAAATTTTCGAGTGAAATCTCTGTCCGGTCTGTTCTCTATTATTAATTATGCTTAAGTTATTAAAATATAAATCCCAAAAAGTTAGTGAAGGGAGTAGTCTCGCTTGTTCTCGCAAGATCTGGATAGCTTTGTTTTTATTGTTTAATATACATATTAAATTTAAGGGTAAATTTTTTTTATAAATTGGTAAATTATAAATTTTTCCAAATATTAAAAAATATTTATAAATTAAAATTTAGAAAAAAGATTTAAAGAAAAAATTGATTTTTCCCCTATTTTTCTTTGTTTTTGTTCTCAAAATGTTTTTTGAAATAAATTTAAAATATTTATTTTCATGCTTACATCGTAATAAACATAATTTGTTAATTGTAATCCATCAGAGAAATTTGCAGACATTATTTCAAAATTTAGAAAAAAATTCTAAAAAATTTTAAATGAATTAAAAATTAAAATGTTTATGTGAATAAATTCTTTAATTAAAAGTGTACGAACGAGCAAATAATTTTAATAAATTTATTTAAAAGTATGTTTTAGACAAATTTGTATTTGTTGGGATTTAATACTTCAAAGATTTTTTTAAAATTAAAAACTAATTATTTACATAAATGTGTGTCTGGTAAATTAATTAATTTTTTGTTTAATTTTCAACAAATTACATAAAATATATATATGTACTCAAATAATTATCCTCTCAAATAATTACAGCAAAGGGTTTAACAATAATTAACTCTTAAAATAGTTATAAATAGCCTTTCTAAAATAATCTCAACTAATTACTCCCTCCCCCTCTGGAAAAATGTTGAAAAATTCAGAGTAATCATTCGAGATACAAAGTAATTATTTTTTGAATTATTGGAGAATAATTAAATTCTGGCATTTTAAAATAGATAAATTAAAAGATTAAATTTTAAAAATTAATTTTTGCTTAAAATTAGAGACCGGACTGGGACTTAAGATTAACTGGCAGACCAAACTCTTTTAATTTATCTATTTTAAAATGCCAGAATTTAATTATATTCGACCAAGAATCGAGATCTAAAAAAATTCTCGATCTCGATAACCAAGATTTTCGATCGAGATCTCTTCTCAGTCCGGTTTCTACTTAAATATTCTATGATACTACATATAATTTTCTTAATTTTAGGAAAAATGCTTTAAATTTTTATTAAACTAAAATAATTTAATAAAAATATTTTTTCATAAAAATAATTGTAAAAGTACTTTGACATAAAATAAAATTTAATTTTTTATAATAAAATTAAATTGGCTCGTTTTTAAAAATTCTCTAGAGTAATATGTAATTTAATTTATATTTATTATTTATAAAATAATATTTAGAAAACTAAAAAAAATTTTTTTTAATATTTAAAATTAAAAGCGATAAACTTTTAAACTCAAAATAATAGCAGTTTTATACGTGAAAATGTTAAATAAAATAATTGGTACTTTTTAAAGTAATTAGAAACGGATGGTTCACTTTTATTCTCATTTTATATTTTAATTATTTGTTTGTTTGATAATTGTTGCCATAAATGCGTAAAGAAATTAATTTTACACATTTTCTATTGACACTAGTAATTAAAATATTTAACAATGGCATTCTTATCTACATTAAGCTAGTTTATTTACATCTTTTCGCTTCAACAAACAATTTAGTAAAATAATGACTATTGTTTTTTTAAATTGTTATTTTGCTGTTTTTGAGATATGTCAAAGTCAAAATATACCGTATTTGCTCAAATAATTATCCAAGGTAATTATTGTTTCAACCGTTTGCTGGGGGTAATTAAAACGGAGAGGGTAATTATTTGAGCATTTTTAAAAGACTAATCATAATTAATTTTAGAAGGGGTAATTATTTTTTCGATCTCTGGCTGTAAAGGGTATTAATAGGGAGAAGGGGGTAATTATTTTAGAGAATGACATTATTTCAGCATTTACGGTTGTTAATTTTGGAATTAAGATTATTTTGAAAAGGTTTTAAAAAAGTCGAAAGATTGCAAAAATGTGAATTCTGATATGTATGAATTTTGATTTTGTAAAAAGTCAAAACAAAGAAAAGTTGGAAATAGATTGGCAAGTTTCGAAAAGTTAAAAAAGTGAACATTAAAAGAATAAAAAAATTTTAAGCTGGGTTATAATTTTGAATGAGTTTAAATAAATATTTAATTGGCAATAATTTAAAAAATTTTCAATTTAAAATTAATTTAATTGTATGTAATAGAAAAAAGTGCATATTAAAATGAACAAATTAAATATTAATATATTAAAAATTAAATAAAAGTATCTAATATATAATTAAAATTATAATTAAATAGTACTTGTATTTTAATAATTTGTAATTTATAATTTTAATTTCAGATGAAGAAAAATTAAATTTATTTGATCTTTGAATTGAACAAAAAAAAATTTTTTTAGATTAATAATTATTTTATTAAATTTTTCTGCAGAGGAGCTTAACATATTTTTTAAAGATTTTACTTAGAAAATTCGAAAAATATTTATTTAACATTTAATATCTATTGAACAGAAAATTAAATATTGTAAAGTATAGTATAGCTATTTATTTCCTAAGGCTGTGAAGGATAATGGATAAATCAGTTCGGTCTACTAAAGATGCTTGGTTCGCACCCAGCCACCGATTAACCCTTTGCACGAGTTAAAGGAGAGAAATAGCTATAGCCCCGTTGCTTTACTATATTAACATCTATGGCATGTTTCTTTACAATATTCATCACGTATCTCATCTCCATAAAAGTCGCTATCACAAAAACCATTCACTTTCCAAACAACACAACTTTAAAAATAAATTAAATAAAACTTTTTAAAACTATAACTTTGTGTGTTTTTTGTCTTTACATTCTTTTGAAGATTTTGAGGTTACAGAATTAGTACATGTTGATTTACAATATTGTTCCATAAATTCTTTATAAAACTTTAGAAATAAAATATTAAATTTTATTGTGGAGCTAATTGGTGGGGTGGCTAATGATTAGCTACTGGGTACGGGAGCTGTCTAGCCAATACCTCTTATTTAAGATATTCATTATAAGAGACTATTTCCAACCGCCTTTTCAATATTGAATCTTATGCATAGTAGTCTGGAAAATTAAAAAAAAATTACTTGTTCTGAACAAAGTTCTTTGTTTTCTGCACAATTTGTTCCAATATCTCCAGCAACTTAAAAATTAATTTTTTTATAAAAAGTCCTATTTAATTTCCCTACCATTTCCTCCAGGAACTTGTCCACCAGGTGCACTGATACCTAATGTGGAACGCACTTCCTGGGTAAATTTCCTGCAAATACTGTTAATTGGCCAATCATTACAAGTTAAAGCACAATCTTTTTGGATATCTGGATCGACACATTTTTGTTGTTCCTTTAAAAAAAGGATTTTAATTATTAAAAAATGGAAAAGAGAAATGTTTGTGGACTACCCAAAAAAACAATCTTTTTATTTTTTGAACAGTTTTAAGCCACAAAATATTTTAGTAACAAATATTTTGACCGTTGGTTCTGCTCTCAAAAAACTTCAGGTTAACAGTGTGCTTTAAGGACCAATACTTCTTCACACTTATACAAATACTTCTTCACCCTTATACATTACAAGTTAGTTTAGTGATGTTCGGGGGAAGAAAAACCCGGGAAACGGGAGGCGGGTCGAGAAATGTCCTAGGGAGTTGGGATCGGGAAATCAAACACTCGGGTAAATTTCCCGATTTGTGAGTCGGGATCGGGATAACCAAACATCACTATTACAGTTTGGCCGTGAATATCGACACGTAATAAATATTCTACCTTTAAACTAGCACAATTATTTTGTTTATCCACACAATATTCCAAATCTTTATTTTGTCTAATAACTTCAACACATTTTCCACACGTTGATTGACATTGATTAAGAGCATATGTTGAATCACTACACTGAGATATTTGGCAATTGGTTATTGAATCTAGAATGATTTTTTGAACTTAATAAAAAGGATGGGGATTTTAAGGAATTCTTTATTGTATTTACTAATTTAATTATAATTTCTTTTGAGATTTTTTAACTTGAAGGCAGTCTTCTTTTATTATACGGTCGGAAAATCTTTCAGACATTTTTAGGTACTCCATAAAGGAATGTTTTCAGGAATTAGAAGATAGTCAAACTTTTAGATTACTATCTACATTTAAAAATTATCGGCTCAATACTTTATCATGGTCAGAATTAGGGTATCCAGTTACTTAACAATAACTACTTATGAGCAAAGTCTATGAACTCCTCAAACTTCCAACTCTCTTCCAATTTAAATATTGTAAAGATGATTTACCTAGTAGCATTTAAAATGCTTAGGCGAGGGTTAAGCGATCTAAAAGGATAAAAGAAAGCATTAGTCGATGCTCTGGTAGTTCAGTGATAGAGCACCTGCATTTGCGAAGGCCGGGCGAGTAGGTTAACCTTGCCCGGTGGCTAAACTTTTGCTAAACTCTTTCTATATCTCTTTACCTTTACAACTTCCATATTCTGGCAATAAACAGCATGTTCTGCAACTTTTTCTACATCTACTTGAATAAATAATTTGATCTATTAAATAAAATAATTTTTCAAATTATTTTATTAAAAACCCGGTATTTCACAATTTTCATTTCTTTCCTTATTTATATCAGGTACAGCATTTCCATTTCTTAATAGCCCTATTAAATTAAATCTTCCATTAGTTGTTGTGCTACATAATTTTTCTGTTGGAATTTCCGGGTCAACAACATTCTCAGCTTCGTTTGGGCAAATATTTGAATTTGGGAAATAATTATCTGCTGTTAGATCATAACAAGGGCCTTTATTGTTTGCTGCATTTAATGTGGAAGAAGAAAATGTTAAATTAAATAATTGGGTTAAATAGATGATAATTAAATAAATAAACATTTTTTTAATTTTTTAACTAAAAGAAAATTGGGAAAAAAAATATTTTAATTATAAAATAATATTTTATTAATTTAAAAATTGAAAGAAAAAATTAATTTTAAAATTTTAAAAATAATCTATAACATAAATAAGAAGAAGGAGATGGAACAGGCGAAATTTTGAAAATTTTGGAGGGCCAGAAGCCAGATTTCTTCCTTTTTTAGCGCCGCAGTCAAAAATTTTGTGAATTTTTGAAGGCCAAGGAGATAGATCTCTTCCACTTTTATCAACAGATTGGTTTCTTTGGAGGTTTATGGGATATTTTCTCATTGAGACAATTCCTTTCTCGTATTATTGCATTTAATTAGCTTTTAAAGGCTCCTAAAGCGTCTTTGAAAATATTCTAATTTTTTATAACCGAAAAAGTAAGTGAGGGCTCAACGAGCTTTTTAAGCTTAAAAATGTTAATTAAATTAAATTTAATAATTAAATAAATAATTCCCCCTATTTATATAAATACTTTATTTATCTAAAAATATCCTTGTTTTGTCAAATCCCTCATTTTATTGTCTACAAACCTTTTTATTTATTGTTTAAAAATAGTAGATAATGGGAGCTTATAATTAATCCTAAAAATAGATGATACAAAAAAATAAATTTTTTTAATTTTTATACAAAAAATATTTACAATATAAAATATACAAAAAATAATAATAATTTTTATTATAAAAAATATTTTAGCAAATTAATAATAATAATATAAAATTAATTAAAAAAATATTTTTTTTTCAAATTAAATAAAATTTAGTAAGATAATAATAGGTACATAGGTATATTCAAAACTTTTTTATTCTGAGTTAATACAGTTTCTGATCAAGGGGAAGGCATTGTTCTTTTGTCCGCAGATTAAAGTATTACGCAAAATGCATGATAACGGAATGCGCAATAAAGTAAATGAAATGCACTCGCCCTTCGTCCTGACTAGCTTTAACTCAGAATCAAATGAAATTAAAAACCACTAATTGGTAAGGAAATTGATATTTTACATACTAATTATATTTTACATACTAATTTTTTTAATTTTTAATCAAAAATGTTAAAATGCTAATAAATATTTATAGTTAAATTTATTTTAAATGATTAAAGAAATATATAAATCTTTTTTAGTATCATTTTCTATTTATAATAAAGAAATATTTATTTATATACATTTATCAGCTAAAAACACAACAAGAGTTCCAACAATAACATTTGCAAGAGAAGCTACAGCAGAACCACATGCCAAATAAAAACTATAACTTAAATCACTTTGACTGTTCAATGATTGAATACTTGTAATACTTTGTAGTTGATCTAGAAAATTATTATTTTTTATTTTTTTAAAAGCAACTCTAAAACATTCTTAATTTTCGTTTGTAAAAACCTCAAAATCGAGCTTACTCCCTCTCACTCCCCCCATGGTTTTTCGATTTCGGGGACCTATATTTCGGTCCACAGGCATCTCCGTAAAGAAAGAGTTGTACTGTTCGACTCAGCTCGTCAAGACGAATCGAATGGTACGAAACCTTTCCACCGGTATACTATAATACAGCCGATATTTTTTACTCCCAAAAAAATATTTTTTATTCCCCTATTTCCCCCTTATTTTTAGGAATTTCTTCCTTAAAAATTATAACTGCTTTACTGATTATTATTTTTTAATAAAAAACCAACTTATCGAAGAATTATTACGTGACCAATAAATAATCACAGCAACTAAAGTAAAAACAAAAGAAGAAAAAGAAAGTCCGGGTAAAGGTTTTAAAATAGATCCATGACAAAAACAAGCACAAATTGTTAAAAGATTCCAAATAAAAGAGCCTATAGCAGTGATTAAACCCAAAATCATTAAAACAATAACTATTTTTTCTGATAATGGTTGGTTCTTTAAATAAAGAAAAATATATGTAAATTAGGTAAATTAATTAATAAAGGCTACAAATTTTGGTTTTTAAATTAGGGGGTTATGTCCGTTCGAAAATATTGTGATGGGTTGGCCAAAGAGCTTTGTTTGAAGTTAAAGGAATATAATCTGAATCTCGTTTAGATTTTTCTGAGCGAACCCATTATTTCATAATAAAAATAAATTTCAAGTTATGAATTTAAGTAGTTGATCAAAAACTGACTAGTTTTTGGCATTAAAATTTTTTTGAAAATTTTTGACCAAAAATTGACCAAATAATCGGCGCCGGGTTGTCTTTGACCGTTTCCCTCAGACCTGCTCACGGATACTGATTTTGGTATCCGTATCCGCATACTTACGGCGGATACAGACGGATATCCGCAGGCATTTTGATATCATCTGTATCCATATCCATTCCCATGAGCAGGTCTGGTTTCCCTTATAAAACCTAAGCCTTCTAAATTAAAGTTTTAGCTAAAAACCTGAATCCAATGGCGTAAAGACAAGTTTTATTAACAAAACTTAAAATTGTCTCTAATTTTGTAAATTAAAAAAATTTACAAAAAAAACTAAAATTCATAGCCCCATTAAAAAATTACTAATTAAATTACTAACATTCCACATTTCAATACACAAATCCAAATAACGAGTTCCACTCTGTGTGCTAACAGTTATGGCTGTTGAACCAGAATTAACTTGTTGTATAGGTTGTTGATTACCATAATTAGTATTATAATTATTATTTGTTGTTCCATATCCTTGTTGATTTGCTGTGTTAAAACCTTGATTTGCTGTATTATAGCCTTGATTTATTGTACCCGATTGAAGATTGCTTAATTAATTTTTTGGAATATTATTAAAAATAAATAATAATAATTAAATTTATTATTTAATCCTGACTTTATTTTTCAATACCTTAAAAGGATCGACTGCTCTACTAAAGGGCCGCTTTATTTTACAATTTAAAGGGCTTTTCTTTATCTTATTTCCTCAATTCTATTTTTTAAACGTCTTATCAGGATCTGAAAGAAGCCTTAAATCAGAGAATACTTGAATGTGGCAAAAGCTCGAGAAAAAGCTCCGGCAGGAATCACGAACCTGCGAAAACCGAAATAGTGGTTCTCTCATACTAACAAGGAAAGGTTGCAAGGCGTCCGACCTAAAAACGGTCGAGACCGGGCTCTTTCGATAGAGAATGTGCCCTTTCTAGCAAGGATTTTGTGTCGTTTTGCCCGTTTTTGTAAGGTTCTCTCATACATTTCTCATAAATTTCTACATAACCTATGCCCAATATCTAAACTCTTAGACGCTGCCAGATCCTAACAATATTAATAAGTTAAAGATTACCCATTATACACATTCTGTGTGTTATCATTAGAGCGTTGACAAGCAAATGCAAACAGTCCCATATTTAATGGGGGCAATTGGCCAAGCTGGCCTTGCTGCAAATTGGATGCAACTTGTCGCCATGCTTACAAATTAATTAAAAATGTAATTTTTAAAATTTCCTCACTTACCAGGTGTAAAGATTGAACCAAGAATTAGGCCAACAGAAGCGAGGGCAAATCCCCCATAAGCAATTTGACCAATTCTAGACAAACACATTTTTTAATTTTAAAAATTTTTAAAAAGAGAAGAAAATTTTTTTTAATATTTCGTTTTCAAGTAATTATTAAAAAAAACTTTTAGTTAATTATTATTTATAAAAAAACTTTTTCTTTCTTTTTCCACTTTCTCACTCATTTTAATTTAAAAATTTACATTAATATAGGTACTTTAGAGAAAAAAAACAATTGAAAGGCTTCACACACTAACAATTGGCACAGCCAACATTTTTTTAAAAAATATTGTCTGCCTTATAAGAATGTATAAATTAATTAGTGATTAGGCAAATGGTTACTCCAGCAACGGAATTTTTTGTGAAAATATAAACCAAAGTTTTATTAAAAAAGAATTGTTTAAAGCAAAGAATTTGAGATACAAAAGTTTTATGTAGAAGAAAGAAAGAAAAGACTCAACATTTAATGAAAAATAAAATTGGGATACTGTATATCCTTTAATAACTACCCTGGGTAATTATTGTTTCGACATTCCGCTGGAGGGAGTAATTAATTGAGGGAGGGTAATTATACGAGGTTTGAAATTTGAACGTGTTTTAGGGTATTTGTTTGGGGGTAATTATTGTTTCAATCTATCGCTGGATGGGGTAATTATTTGGAGGAGGGCAATTAATACTGGTTATGAGTACATAAAAGCAAAAATATATATTGATAATTGCGGGAAGTCTATGATTCGTTGGTTCGGATAATTATGGATAAAATTTTAATCTGCTTCAGCTAACTAGGAAAAATTTCTGGGTAAATCAAACTTCAAAACTTTCAAATTATTCAGACTTTCTAATAATATTATAGAAAAATTAATGGGTATCTTAAATTATCTGAAAATTATTTTTAGATCTTTTTAAAATTAAAATTTAATCAAATAAAAAAATTTGCAATTTAAATAATTTAATAAAAAATAAAATAGAAATTTTTGTGGCTCTTGTCCAGTTCATGCGTCCCATGAAGATTTATGAGTCCCAAGAGAATTTATGAGTCCCATAAAAATTTATGCGTCCCAAAAATAATTTATGCGTCCCATAAAAATCTATGCGTCCCAAAAATAATTTATGCGTCCCATAAAAATTTATGCGTCCCAAAAATTATTTATGCGTCCCATGAAATGAATTGAAAAAATATTCAAATATGATAAATATTAATTATTCCCTCAAATTCCTTTATCAAACCTTAATCCAATAATATCCTTTAAACTCTACTTGATCAATCCAGAACCAATTTTTTCATCCGATATCGATCCCTTTATCTCCCCAAAATCCTCTTTTACCCACCAATTAATCGGATTATATCTTTTTAATCCTCGAAAAATTTTAGGTTGAAATTTCGGTTAACCGAAAGCTGTTCGGTTTTATTTATCGAAGAATCAAGTGAAACCGAAAACGCTACTTATGCTAGAATAAATAAAATATGTAATTCAATGAGTCTTGTAATATTTTTTCAAATATAGGGGAAAAATATTTTAGGGGTGAGTACTATTTTAAGGGGAGTACTAATTCAGGGGGGAGTACTATTTTTCAACCCTCCTCCAAAGGGGAGTATTATTTAAGGGGGGAGTACTAATTCAGGGGGAGTATTACTTTAGGAAATACCGTATTTGATTAACAAAGAACAGTATAATTGATTAACAAAAGATTTTTCAATTTATATCATGGGACGCATAAATTTTTATGGGACGCATAAATTATTTTTGGGACGCATAAATTATTATGGGACGCATAAACTATTTTTGGGACTCATAAATTTTCATGGGACGCATAAATTTTTATGGGACTCATAAATCTTCATTGGACGCATAAATTTTCATGGGACGCATGAACTGGACAAGAGCCATTTTTGTTACCGTTATAAATGAAGAAACTAAATTTTAAAAATAAATAAATTTAGAAAATAAATTTTTAAAATAAATATGGATAAATTAAAAATGTTTAATATAATAAAGTTAGGGTGCCCAAAAAATACTTTCAAATATAATCATTACTCGGTTATCTTTTCCCCGGGGAGGTACATGTTTTTAAATGTTTAGAGGCAATGAATAGATAATAGAAACATTTTTATAACTAAAATGTTCATCTTCGTCTTCTTTAATCTCTTCGAGAAGAATCAGTAGTACTTGTAAATATAGAGCTACGTGAAGTCCCCAAAGAATCTTCTCCATCATTTTGAACAGGAAGTATAAAATTTGGAACTGCAATCTCTTGGTCAACTTCAAAATCTGGGTCAAGTTCGTCTGCTAAAGCTTGGATTTGGTCTTCATTCATAAACTGAAGGTCTTCCTCTTCACCCTCCTCATTAACAACGATGCCGTCTTCATTCATAAGCTGAAGATTATTTTCTCCTTCAGCCTCCTCATCCTGACCATTAACAACGTCCTAAATAAAAATTAGTTAATTAGAATGTCAGGTTAGATAAAATTAAAGTATAAAATGTAAATAAAGCAAAGTTTTTACAAGAAAAGAGGGCTAGCAACAATAAATATCTTAAAAATTTATTTAATTAGAAAGTATATTTGTTATTTAATTCCTCTCATTTTCTCAATATCTCCCTCTCGTTCAATATCTAATTTTAAAAAATTCAATTTGGATGGTCTCAGCATCCATATGTGATTATTGACTTTGAATCCCTCTATAAACTTACATTTAATAGATCCTCAGCGTCTTCCACAATAACATTTTCTTCCGCAACATTTGGATTACCTTCATCTTGAATAATTAATATTTCTTTCTTAAAATAATTTTTAAAATAATTTTAAATTTAAAAGTTTATTGTCTTTATTATAAGGGTATTTTTTTATTAATAATTAAAATAATTTAATAAACAAATTAAAAATAGAAATTTACTTTCTACATTTTCTTCATTATCATCAAGAACATCAACAGAACAACAAAAACCACTATTACCGCAATAAACAATTTTTATAATAAATACAAAACATATGAAAACTTGAATAATTTTACTGTTTTGTTTAATAATTAACATTTTTTAATTTGCTTAATAATAAAATAAATTAACACTAAATTTTATATTTATTTATAAAAAAATTTTTCCTTAGGGGGAGAGGGAGAATAAAAAAATTTTTTTATAAGAATTTATACGCTTCTCTAAGTAAAATCCTATATTAATTACCTCCCTCTATCTTCCTATCCATCAGATTCTTTAGTCAAGCCTTGCCTTTTGTCATATTTTATGGATTTTTATTATAAATTTAAATTTTTAAAATTGATTTTTTGCAGTGATAAAATTTTTTATTTAATTTTAAATTAAAAAAATTAAAAACATAGGCCAGAGATCAAGCTTTTTGAAACCCAAAAACATATGTAGATAGTCAAACAACCACTGATTGGGGAAAAAAGTGAGAGGAAAGGTCTTATGACAATTGCTGATACAAAATTTAAAAAAATTTATTTGAATGAAACATTTTAATTTTGAAATTCTAATAATTTTTAAAGATTTACCCTGAAATCCTACTTGAGTTAGGTCGGTCAGAACGCACTGGTGCATAGCAGGGCTGTAAAAAATTTTCAAATTTTTAAAATCTGAGGCATGGTTTAAATTATGGTTCGGATTCCACTAGAATTTTATTTTAAGAAATTTAAATTCCAAATATAAAAAATTATCTTTATATAAGACCAGACAACAAAAAGACTGTTTTTTGTGCCAAATCAATCCAGAAATTGTTCGGAAATTGAAAGTGTTCAGCTGGCATTTCAGCTAGCTGGCAAGTGTCGGGATGATTTTGGGAAACGGAAAATAGTCTCAAATAGGGTTGTGCCCCGTCCCCGAAAGTCGGGGAATTTGAGAGATTTTTTTAAATCAGCAGGTGAGACACCCCCCCCCCCTCCCACCCCCGTTGGGGAACAACCCTAGTCTCAAATATTCCTCTCAGCCTAATAAATTTAAGTAAATCCAAGAAATAAATTTTTAAAAATTGTTTTAAAAAATTTTTAACTTATAAAGGCCTTAAAAGTAATATAATTACAACTTTGTAATCACATAAATATATATTTTAAAAACAATTTTTAATAAATTGGAACAATTTATATATTTTTTTCTTCTCCAATTTAAATATTTAAATAGCAAAAATCATTCCTTCAGCATCTCTAATTAAAGATTTTATATCTTCATCAGACACCCCATCTTTAATTTGTTTTAATATTGATGGAAGGTTTTGTTCTATAGCCAAATAAATTAATGTTGATTGTCCCCACATTAACATTATAATTGTTTGTAAAATTCGAAATAAAGCTATTGGTGAATAATTTGAATAATTATTTGTTTTTTGAAGAACTAAAATTAATGAACGAAGAATATCTTCACGTGGACCTAAAAAAATTTAATTTTGACAAATTAATTTTTAAATAAAATTAAACCAAGTTCTGTCACATTTGATTTTGCTTCACTATTTTTTAATAAAATTGATGCAAAATTTGCTAATGCCGTTGCAGAAGAAATCTTTAATTTATTTAAATAAGTATAAAATGTTGAACAAAATAAGTCTGCATATGAGTTAAGAACACCTATTTTTGCTCATTTTTTAAATCAATTTTACGCATGTTTTAATTACCAACTTGTCACTTATTTTACTCACATTTATTAGAAGCTATGAGAATCATGTATAAATTCTCAACAATTCTAAAAAATTTCACTCGACTTTCAAAAAAATTTAGAAAAAAAACGAAGCCAGGAAAAATTTTTGGGGGACCTTCTATACCGGCGTCCTACATCCCTTGAAAACAAAGAAGATGTAGGATGAATTAAAATAATCAAGACACGTAAACCCCATTTCTGGGAGCTTCAGCCCCAGGCTACGCACGTGCTCAACACTTCTTGAAAATTTTCCTCGACTTTGAAAGGAAATTAACAAAAATGGATTAATTCCAATTTATACCTGTAATGCCTGTTTTGATGAATAAAGCTGTTCTGGAATGAAAGAAGAAAAAGCAGAAGTTGCTGATAACAACATTTCACGCCCATAACTATGACTGGCAGCATTTGCAAGTGATCGACATGAAAGAATAAGAATGGGGTCTGGAGAATCTTTTGTAAGGAGAGAAAGTAAACGAGAGATTGTTGACTGGCCTTTTGGTGGATTTCCTAGCACTGGCTTTAAATAAAAAAAATTTAATTAATTAATTCTGATAATTCAAAACGCCATCGAGATGGCCAAACATAAAAGGAAAAAACGACTAATGTAAGGACTTTTTCTGTAGTTGGCAATTTCAGTCTCTGGACATTTTGCCACATAATTTTAAATATTTAATATTGGTTTACCTTAAGAGAACAAAAAATTTCATTTAATTTTGGATGTAAAAGAGCAATTCTAAACAGGTCCAAAGCAGGTACAGCACGTTCCAACGGCCATTCCAATGCCTTCTCTAAAGTAACAACATGACATTCAGTGATTTCAAATTCAGTATTATCTTTTAAAATTTGAGAAGCCGCACAAATCTTAATTTTTTGAATTAAAAATAATTTTATAAAAATAAAATTAACCTCATCATCAGTCATTTTTAAAGGTTGAAATAAAGTCAAATTCATGTCTAAAAGACAAGCAAATAATTTTTGTGAAACACCTTCCTTTCCAAATGAATAAAAATCTCCTAAAGGCACAAAATTGTTTTGAGGACGTTTTTTATCTTAAAAAATAAACTAAGAAAAAAATTAAATTAAGAGAACCAATAGAAACGGGTTTGACTGAAGAACTTCCAGGAACATAACGTCCGGAGCCAGTAATAGGATCCTGGTAATCTGCAGCATTTCCATTTTGTTCAGTAACAACTTGATGGAAAAATCCATCATTTGCAGCAATATTGTCATTTTTAGTAGAAAAGCGAGACATATCAAACGAGGGATCCTGAAAGAAATGAAAGTATTAAAAAAATTTTCCCGATAAGATAATTTAAAAATAACCTTTGCTGCTTGGGTTTCTTTTTCTTTAAATGCAAGTTCCTCATATTGGCTGGAATAGAAAAATTCTTGAATGTCATCAGGAGCTCGTCTCGATGGGTCAGCTGTGAAGATTAAAACCATTCCGGAACTACAAAAATAATTTTTTTATTTAAAAATTAAAAAAAAACCTCGAAGCAATTGCAAAATCGCCATTCCGCAGTGCAGAAATTGACCAAATACTTTGGACAGGAACCTTCATAGAAAATTTGTGAATCAAATTTGCATCAGCTTCCAACTTCCATATATCAATACAACCACCCTCTCCAGCAGAAAGTAAAAAATCGTCTTTGGAAGGAATATGGAGTAGAGACATTCTTAATTAAAGGAAATTTTGAAAACATATTTAAATTTTAAGAAAAGTTAAAAGGAAAATTTTTCACTAGACTCATAAAAACTTTCAATGGACACATAAAAGTTCATAGGATGCATAAACTAGACGGTAAAAAATTTTTAAGTAAAAGTTCGGGGAATTAAAAAATTTTAATTTTTGGCGCCGAGGGAATAAAAAAAGTATCAAATTCCCCGACTTACGGGGACGGAATATAACCCTTTAGATGAAAAAATTAAAAATGAAGGATGCTCGTTTATCTCGCAATGCCTATATTTAAAATTTGTAACCTGTTAATAATTCTAAAATATTAAATAATTACGTGTATATAAAATTATCATGTTGAGGTAGAAAGTTTCGAAGTCTTGTACAATTTGGAATATCCCAAAGAATAATTGTTGCATCATTGGATGTTGAGAAGAAATATAATTCAGAAATTACAATTAAAGAACGAACAACATCGGTGTGCCCTAAAATAAAAATTTAATTATTTTTTAGAAATGAAGATGTAAAAATTCGTTGGGTTATATAATTTAGAATTATTTCTAAATTAGAGGTGAGTTAACATAAACGGGACACTACAAATTTCCTAATCTACAGATGGCACGTAGTAAAAAAAATATGGCATAATTAAAACATGGCAGATCCAAAAAATTTATGCAGCAAAACCCAGGAAATTCGAAAACAGTTGGTTATATAGAAGAAAACTCTAGACATCGGTCCACACCAGGGCTGGGCGATTCCGCTTTTTATTTTTTGATTTCGCCCAGCCCTGGTCCACACCATGATTACAGATTTATATTTAATTTACCAAAAAATTCAGTAATAACATCATAATCCTTCGACCAAAGTTTAATTGACTTATCAGCAGAACCAGTAAGAAATTTTGGAAATTTTGAAGGAACAGTTGCAACAGCCCAAACAGAGCATTTATGTCCAGACAAAAATCCAATTGGAACCCTATCGGGACCTTCTTTCAACAAAAGTTCTAACGGCCAAACAACAGCATTGTGGTCCTAATTGATTAAATTTATTTAAAATTTAAACTAAAAATATACCCAAGATCCGCTCATTAAAAACCCAGTTTTATCGTCAAAATAGAGAGCACAAACTAAAATGACAAAAATTTTAATTTCTTAAAAATAAATCAAACCATTAGATTTATGCCCTTGTAAAACTTTAACAGGTTCTTCTGTATTTGAAGCATTATAAATAGCTACTGACCCATTTTTCCTTCCAAGAAAAATTAAACTTTCAAAACCAGCATCTGGAGCGGAACCTAAGGCTATTGAATTTATTGCAAGACAATCTTTTTGTTGAACAGTTGAAGTATTTGTCCAATTTATGCCTCTATAAAAAAATTTTTTTTTAATCCGTAAGATCATTGGTCCCTAGGAAAAAATGCTAAAAAAAAGTGCTCCTTCGATATTTTAGAGGTCAATCATGTGTGCTGAATCTGAGTTTAGAAGTTGTTTATTTTGACAGCGGAAATTCGACATAGTCGAATTTAGGGTAAAAATTGAGTTAAAAGGTAATTGTGGTATTCAAAATAGACAAATTCCAAGCTCAGATTCAGACTCAGCACACTCAATTACCTACTGCGAACCTCTAAAATTTCGAAAACTCACTTTTTAAGCATTTTTCCTAGGGACCAATGATCTTAAGGATTGCCAATTTTTTAATAAAAAATTTTTATTTACTCGTTAGTCCAAATTTTCATAAAACCATCTCTTCCGCCACTAATTAATGTTCCTGTAGGAGTTTCAATAACACATTTAGCATCATCCGAATGGGCTTGAATAATTGCACTTAGAGAGAATTGAAGATTTTCGTTGTCATTATTTAAAGAAATTATTTTACTAGTTGAACATTCGTCAGAAGTATCCATCTTTTGGAAGAATTTAATAATTTTTTAATATCTAAAAAGTTTTATTAAATACATAGATTCTCTCAATTAGCAATCCTCAAAAATAATTGTTTAAAATTTCGGATTGAAGGGAAGCTGAACGATTTTTCGTAGTTGTGGGCCAAGTATTGGGGCTGTGAATTTTTAAAATTAATTGCGGAATGTAAACCCTGAATCAAAAAATTTTTCGATTGAGGACATCTCTCAACAAAAATCATCAAAAAAATATTTGACCCAAAAGGGTGGTGAAACGCCCAAATAGGCGCGCAGCCATAACATGCTGGAAAATTTCTTACCCTTATCAATTTTGGTATCAACCTCTTTAGCTCGTTGAGAGGAATCGTTTAATACTAAATTTGTTAAGATTCGGAAATCTTAAAGCAAGTTAAGGCTTTGCGACGTTATGGCCGCGCGTCTACTTGGGCAGTACTCAAAAAGGTATATCCCACTTAAGCGCAGTCACTCAACCATAAAATATGTAGAACTTTGCTCTTTGTTCAGTAATTTTATTGGGGTTAAAGTCTTACAATAGACTAATATTACGTGCTAACAATAAGACTAAAAAATAAATTTAGTTTCTATAAATCTTTTATTTTGCTTAAGAGTGACGCGACTATGTGGCCCAATTCGGCATTTAGAAGTACCACAATTAGAGTCTAAAATTAGTTTCGGTATTTTTCCAAATTTACTAACAACTTTGTCAAAGGGTTCGAGTCCTTAAATTAATTTAGCTTATTTGTTTAATCTCATTCTCTAACAATTAAATTTTCCACAAATCTCTTTGATAAAATTATTTTTTAAATTTTGCCTATCAGACTCAATTGGCTTTCTGTTAAAATATTTGTTTTGTCAAGAAATTAATTTTAACAATTTTATTTCTTGCATATTATTCATTTTTGTAGAAAATATTAACGCAGAATGGAAGATAATAGTCCAACAAAGGAGCAGACAAAAGTTGCAAATTTGGAAGATGCACAAGAGGAGAAAATTGCCATTTTAGATTTTGGTGCTCAATATGGAAAGGTTATTTTATTAAATTTTTTAATTCGAATACATATTTTACTAAAAACTGAGGGCTGATTTTTTAATTTTAGTGTTTGGACAAAGGATTTGGGTCTTGACCTGTTTACTTTTTTGGCCCAATCAGTAAAATTGAATTTCGTAGCCCTCGCCCCCCTCTTTTCCTTCCTCACCCTCCTACCCCCTTGGCTACGGCTCTGATCCCATGACATGATTTCTGGTAAAATCTTGAAACCCCAGAGAATGACTGGACTTTGTCTTAACTTACAGAATTAATTACAAGATAGCTTTACAGATAATACAGAAAAAATAGTACTTATAAAATCATGATTCTTTTAATTTTAAGTTAATCGACAGACGTGTTCGTGAATGCAATGTTTATAGTTCTATTTTGCCTTTTGACACTAAAATGGAACAATTATTGCGGGATAAGTACAGGTTGTTTTATATTAAATTTTTAACAATTAAAAAGACATTTTAGTGCAATTATTATAAGTGGCGGACCAAATTCTGTATATGTTGATAATGCTCCTTTGTATGATGCTGCTATATTTAATGGGCAACTCCCTGTATATTTTTTGTATTTAATTTTTCTTTTATGTTAATAATTTTAGGTACTTGGAATTTGTTACGGGTTTCAGGTATTTGTTTATTATTTAAAATATTTTTCTTTTGACATGAGCAAGGGAGTAGCCAAAGGGACGATTTTAGGGAGCTAAAATGGGGTGTGCGCCAAAATTTCGGCGTTTACTTTGGCGTTCCGAACGCATATTTTTTTGTACATATATTTTTATTTTTTTCTGCGCCGCATGCGAAAATTTTGAGAGTTTTAGAAGTCCGTAAGTGTTAGAAGGCCGTTCTGGGGATATATTCCCCCATTTCAGAGGGGCTATAGCCCCAGAAGCCAAGCCTCCTGGCTACGCTTTTGGTCATGAGTATTTCTGGGTTTAAACCCTCCCTCTATTCAATGTCCTTTTGTCTCAAATAAAATACCAAAAATACATTTTTTCTATTTTAGTTAATAAACAAACATTTTGGCGGAAATGTTTGTTTACATGCAAGACGAGAGGATGGACGTACAAATATTAAAGTTTTTTTATTTAATTTTGATTATATTTTGATATTTTAATTTTAAATGTGTAGATTGACCCTCAATCGGAAATCTTTAACGGCCTTCAAGCCGAACAGAATGTTCTTTTGACGCATGGAGATGGAGTAACAAAAGATTCGATTCCACCTAATGGATTTCGTATAATTGCAATGAGTGGCGAATTTGTTGCGGGTTTTTTAAAATTTTTTAATCAAAATTAAAAAATTCTTTTTAGGTATTGAACAAGTGGAAAAGCGTATTTTTGGCCTTCAATTCCATCCAGGTTTTTAAATTAATTTCGAGTATTTTTTAAAATTAATTTTAGAAGTTGACTTGACTGAAAACGGAACTTCAATTCTTTCAAATTTTCTTCGACGCGTTTGCCGATTGACTTGTCGTTATACTTTTCTAAATCGAGAGCATAAATGTATTGAATTAATTAGACAAACTGTTGGTGATAAACATGTTTTGGTGCTTTGTTCTGGAGGGGTGGATTCAACTGTTTGTGCTGCTTTGTGTATAAAAGCTTTGGGCTCTGAAAAAGTGGTTTGTTTTCAAAAATAATTTTAAAACTTTTTTTTGGAATTTTTGTAAAATGTTTTTATGAAATTACTTGCAAGTAAAATTTGTAGGGGTAGCACGGGGGGGGGGGACTTGGGGATGAGACTAGAAATTATAAAATATCCGATTAAAAAATATTTATTTCTAAAATAAAATATAAATGTGAGGGGTAAAATAGGGGAACGGATTCTTGTCAGCAAAAGCTAGGAAAAAGAGTGCAAGAGAGTTGAGGGGAAGGAACGGGAACTAAACTTTATTTTTATGATAATCCATTTTTATGATTATCTCACATTCTCATTTCCTGTTATTTTTAATAAAAAAAACTAATTTTAAATTTAAGCATGCAATCCATATTGATAATGGCTTTATGCGTTATAATGAATCTTCCGCTATCATTCAATCCCTAAGCGCAATTGGACTAGGTTATTATTGTTTTAAAAATATTTTTAAAATTTTTTATTTTTTAGTTGTTAATCGTTTTGATTTTCTAACTGAATTCTTGAATGCCAGGATAATTGATAAAGGAGTAGAAACTCTGCCATTAAAATTTGTTACTTGCCCGGAACATAAACGTAAAATTATTGGTGATACTTTTATTCGTTGTAAAGATGCTGCAATTGAGCAAGTAAGGAGTTTTTAAATTGATTAGAGTCTGATCCTCCAAAAATTTAAATTTTGAGATTTTTTATTTCATAAGTTATGACCGAGAGTAAAAATTAGTTTTCTGTAACGTCAACATTTTTAGTCATTTTTTAAAATTTGACAATGAAAAAATCTGAAATTTTCGTATTGTCACATTCCTTTCATTATCATTACTTAAGGGGATGGAGAACTGGCCAAACAGTTCAATCTTAGTTTTTGGGTTAGAGAACCGTTGGCTGTTTTTCCATCCCTTTTTCCACCCGTTTTTGTTCACACATTTTATTTTAAATAGCCGACCCGTTAATCGGGACTTTCAGACTTATTGTTAGATAAACAAAACTTAAACAATTAAGATTTTTATGAACCTGTGTTATCTCAATGTTTTAAAATTATTTAATATTTTTTCAGCTCAAGTTGGACAATGACCTTTATTTGGTTCAAGGAACATTACGACCAGATTTAGTTCTAAAAATTAATTTAATAAAAATATTTCTTCTGCCTTTATTAAGATTGAAAGTGCGTCAGAAATTGCTAGCGGTTGTGCTAATGTTATTAGTAAATTAATAATTTTAATTTAAATATTATTTTTAAATTTAGAAACTCATCATAATGATAGTGCACTTGTAAGAGAACTTCGAGATTTGGTATTTTTTTATTTTAAACTTTAAATTAAAATTTTGGGAGCAGGACAGTGTACCGCTAGCCCAATATACCGCCGAGCTATAACTGTTAAAAATTGTCAAATCTGTGGCGCCCTGGTATGGTTAGATTCAGCTGATCGAGCCGCATCGAACCATACCAAGGCAACTCGGATTCGACAATTTTGAACAAAGTTATAGCTCGGCGGTACAATGTACTCGCAGTACATCGTGGTATACCTAAATATTTTTAGGGAAAGGTTGTTGAACCACTACAAGATTTTCATAAAGACGAAGTTCGTGAACTTGGACGAACTCTCGGATTGCCTGAGGCTATTGTTACTCGCCATCCATTCCCTGGCCCGGGTTTGGCTATTCGAATTCTTTGTGCTGAAGTGCCATTTATTGTAAGAATTTATTAAATAGTGTTTTTACAAATATTTTAGTGTGAAAATTTTGATGCAACACAAAATCAACTTCGTTCAATTGTTTCAAATTTTAGTCCAAATTTTGATTGCATTTTACTTCCTATTAGAGCTGTTGGTGTACAAGGTTTTTAAAATTTTTTTTTAAATGTTCGCTTTGAATTTTCACATCAGACAGCAATCCTAGCTTTTTGGGCAGGCATTTTGTGGTTTTGCTTCAGCCTGCAAGCAAGACCTTAAAACTGTCTTGCTTCAGCTTTCTTGCTTCTATTTTTACTCTATTTTGACCTACTATAATTCCCTCAATGAGTTCTTTAAATTTATTTAAAGGTGATCGACGTTCTTATTCTTATGTTGCTGCTTTGACCTTTTGTAAAAAGGATGAACCTATTCCTTGGGATAAAATTCATTATCTGGCTAAAATACTTCCAAATGAAGTAAAAAATGTGAATAGGTTAATTTTTCTATTAAAATATTGCTAATAAATTATTTTATTTTTAAAGGGTTGTTTTTGTATTTCATGAAACAACTACTAATTTAATTAAGGATATTACTGTTACACATATAAATGAAGGTATTTTAATCTTTTTTGCTGAAATTTTAAGAGCATTTTCTTGTTTAAGGGATATTCTCTTTAGTTTTTCTCTATTATTTATTTTTTTTCTGATTGATAAGAGAATTGGGCTTTCCCCTGTTCCTTTCTCCTAGGTTATATCCTTAATACTTTGCTGGATAAATTAGAAGAATTGGGGAAATTAGTGTTTTTTTTTGAAATTATGGCTTATAAAAAATTATCTCAAAAATAAAAAATTAGCCAAATTATTTTTATAACTTCTAAATTTATTTTTAAAATTTTTGTTTTTATTTTAAAATAATTTCAGCAACAATTGAGATTATTCAAAAAGCTGACAAAATTGTTTACCAAACATTGCGCGGGTTGGATTCTTTAGACAACCCAAATCCTTTACTTAAAGATTCTCTTAAATGTATAGAACAGGTTTTTCAATATATTTTAATTTTTAAATTTTTTTTTATTTTTTAGATGCCAGTAGTTCTAGTCCCAATTCATTTTAATCGTTTTTATACTTTGCCTCAAGTTTTCCCAAGTACAAAACGTTCAATTGTTTTACGCCCTTTTCTTACTCGTGATTTTATGACTGGAGAGCCAGCTATACCAGGACAAGATATTCCCTTTGAGGTGGATTTTATTTTTTTTTTAATTTCTGATTTTACACCGGGATTGCTATAATACATATGTGCCGATAAAAGAAATAAATAGCCAAGTTTATGATACGTTTCTTAAAATTTGATTCACCATTTAATGGGGTGATTGTTTAACGATTTCCCCTCCACTTTAAAGTACCTCGATTTATGTATTATCTTTTCAACCTCTAGGGGGTATTTTATAAAGAGATCCGACTTCATTTAATTTTCTTTTTAAAAATATTTTTATTATTTTATAATTATTTTCAGACAATTATGGAAATGGTTAGACGTATTGAAGCAGAAATGCCAACAACAATTTCTCGGGTTATGATTGACATGACGGCGGTAAATTAAAATATAAAAAAATTTTCCTGAACAATTTGTTTTTTAAATTTAGAAACCTCCCGGTACGACAGAATGGGAATAATGCTATAATTATTTAAATTTTATTTTGCTCAACAGGGCACTTTTAATTCTTTTTTTACTCTTTTTTCGATTTAGAACTCTCAACAATTTATTGCTCTACTTGTTTAATTATATAAGCCATCTTTTATTGTTGATTTTGAAATTTTCTGAAATGACACTTTTAAAAATTAAATAAATATATAATTTAAAAAGAAAATTGTTTTTAAGTTTTTATTAGAGGATTTCGAACAATCTTGACTTTAAAAAATTTCCCCTCATAGAAACGGAACCGGAAATTGACTTTAAAACTAAAACCGCTACCATCCCTCTCCTTCTCCTAAAAACGAGGTTTGCCTTTAACCGCCCATCTTTCTATTTAAAAATTCAATCGTTGGTCTTTTAAGTAATTGATTAATCTCGTGAAGCCTTTAAAATTTATACACGTCGTCTTATGGCTGTCAGATTGATTTTTATTAGAAAAATCGAGGGGTGGATTGATTGGAGAAAGAGAATTTTAAAGAATTTAAATTTCCCTCTTCATTTTAGACCCCCACTTCAAATTTGCCTCTTCATCTTAAATTTATTTAAATTTTTTTAAAGAAAAAAATTTCATAAAGAAAAACTTCTCTATGAGAGAGAGTAGGATTTTAATTTTTTATATATTTCTGTTTTGTTGTATACAAACAATTTTGCTGAGTGTAGTTATTCAACATGGCATAAATGACCAAACAAATTTGGTAAAAGAAAGTAAAGAAATTATTAAATTTGAAGAAAAAACTAAAATTAAAGAATTTGTAAAAGAAATTAAAACTTTAAAAAATTATGGGGAAGTTTCCGCTGAGGATGAGTCTGACAATGAATATGTAAAGATACGGAAGACTGTTAATAGTAGCTTGACTAATTTGGAAAATTTTTCTTTTAAAGAGAAGTTGGAAAAATTTTTGAAATTTTTGGAAGATTATGTTAACAATAAATATTTCTCGGATATGGAATTACAAAAGGAGTTGATAACAAAAAAGGGGACGATAGAAGAATTAACTGAATTAGTTAAAAAATTAAATAAAGATTTTTTAAGTAAATTTGAAAATTGTGAAAAATTGTTTGATCTGCTAAATCAATTAAAGCCGTCTTTTAAAGAGGAGGGACAAGATAAACTTCAATTTACAATTCTTATTAATCAATTACAAACAGAAATTATTATCGGGCAATCTGAGCGGGGATTTTTCTATTTGGAAATTGAGGAGTTTGGAAGTAAATATAAAAAAGATATAGTTTATCAAATGGAAGTTGTTAAAAAAGGATTTACAAATTCAATTGAGAGTAGTAAAAAAGGTGGACAAAACGATGAGAATATTTTGAACAAGTCTTGGCATGAAGAAAGTTTTAGTGAAGAAACAATTTTTGAGAAAAAAGGTTTTTATTTGACAGTCTACAACTAAAAGACTCGGCCCAAATTCACAAAGCCTTATTTCATCTCTTTTGAAAATTTTTGGGCTGAAAACAAATTAATTAAATTCAAGTCTCAAAACTTTTAAAATGAATCTATCCGTAATAAAATTTAACTCCTTTCATTTCCATTCTCCGTTTTATCTGGGTATTATCCACGTTTTATGCATTCGTGGGAGATAAAAGCTTTCACTATTCCTCTCATTATAATAGTATATAAATCTGGCTTCAAAGGAGGAAGGTTGTCAGATAGTTGTTGGAATTCTTTGGATATCCGGTATCCGAACCGAAATTTACAACCTTCCAAAGGATTATATTTAAGCGAGATCCTAAACTTATTTAATAAAATAATTTAAAGGAAAGATGATGCAATCAGTTTATAATCATTTAATGAAGAATACTTTTAAAATTTATATTGAGAACGAAATTCAATTGGCTGAGGGAGTAAAAAAAGAGGGGGAAAAAGAAAAATATATTTCTGAAACTTTAGAAAATTTAAAAAATATAAAATTTTCGTTTAAACTTTTTAACAAAAAACTCCTCGATAAATTAAATCTGAGTCCCGAAATAAAACAAGAATTATTTGATCTTAACACAAATTATAAAATAATTGAAGAACCTGAAGAATTATTAAATATTGCAACAACAAAAAAAGATAAAAACAAAGAAATGAAAACATTTTTAGAAAATGAAAATTCAAGAGTTCATAGTCTGCTTGATTCAAATAATAAAGATTTAACAGAGGAACAAAAACCGGAGAAAAATTCAATATGGAAAAATGTTAAATTATTTATTGCTAAAAAGAATACAAAAAACAAGTCAGGGTTCGGCGATATTGTTAATTTAGCTGTTGCTGCTAAAAAGAATAATGAAAAAATTTTAACAGAAAAAGCAAAAAAATTTTGTTCATTAAAATCGCGTTTAAATATATATTTTAATTTAAATGAAGCAATAAATGAACTTTACCAGAAAATATCAAGCATCAAATACTCCTCAATAAATATTAATGATTTTAACAAGCCCGAGGTAAATAAATTTATGATTAAATAATCTAAGGAAAATAATTTAGAGATCCCTTTAAAATAAATAAATTTAAACAGATCAATGTTTCACCGGAACCGATATTTTGACCGAATCCAATTTGAGTTCAGGTTTCCGCAACCGAACTTCCGGTGAAACTGTATCAATTACCTCTGTCCGTTTTATCACATTCTTCGGTTAATCGAGACTGATACTTTTGATTTATCTCGAAAGCATACTTGGTAATGAACATGGATTCTGTTTACGGCGGATACAGTTGGATATTCGCAGGCGGGAGAGCTATAACTTCGTTCAGAGTTGTCGAATCCGGGATCCGCAGGCATTTTGAAGTTGTCTGTATCCATATCCATTATCAAGTTTGTTCAAAAGTTTCGGTTCGGTTTTGGTTAAGCTAAATTTTAATTTTAGCTTATTCTTTAAATATTCATGTCTCACTTTTCCATTATGTATTACAGGAAAACTGATTTTAACTCTTTCTCTCTCTAATCTTTAAATCTAAATTTCTTAACTAAACTTCTACCTTAATTAATTTTTTAAATAAAAATTATTTTTTAGATAAGATTTGAAGAAGCATTATATTTGGAAGATAAAATGTCAAATATATATAATCGAATTAAGAATTGGTATTCGGACCGTATAGAAGCTTGGATTCTTTATAAATATCTAATTAAAGATTTATTTAAATTAATGGCAGATTTTGTTTTAGTAAAGGAATCCAAATTCAGTTTACATCTAAATTTATTTTATAAAGAAATGGTTAAAGAATTAAATTTCCCTAAAGGGTGGATAGAAGCAGAACGAAATTTACTTGACCCAAAAAAATTCTATCAAATGGAAGTAATGTTGGAAGTATTAATTCGAATTAATTCTTTTAAAGTTATTTTGGCTTTTGAAAGGATGGATAAAATTTTTAAAACATTTTCTTTTATTAATGAAAAGGAAATTGAAAAAATTGAAAAGAATTTTGGGTTTTGAAGCAATTGAGAAAGTTTGAAAAGAAAGGATTGAAAGAAGTTGAGAAGGAAAAAAACATTTTGAATTTTTTTTTAAAGTTTTTGGGGTTTTGTAAAATATTTAACAAAATTTGTATTTATTTAAGTATTTTTTTGGAAGTTTTTTAATTTTTTATTTTTTAAAAATTTTTAAAATTTTTTTATGACAATGTAAAAGGGCTGGATGCAACTGGAATTTTTCTTACTTTTTAAATTTTTTTAAATTAATTTTTCTTAATTCGAAATTAAAAATCCCAAAATCCGCAACTGCGTCCAGCCTCGATTCGAAAAAAATTTTAACAACATTTTTCTAATTCATTTATTTTATTCGTAATTTTGACAAAAATTGTAAATATTTTTTTATAAAATTGTAACCTTTTAAATGACTATATCTTTTCTCCCAAGCTATCTACTAATTACCATGATTTTTAATTACTTCGAAAATCAGGGATAGGATGAAAAATGTGGGTCAGGGTCGGCTTTTCAAAGTTTTCTTTGGATTGAGTTTTAAATTGAAAAATATAATAAATTCGTCTTCGATCGGTTAAAAATTTGAATTCAACCAAAATTTGAGAAAATAAATGTTTTTTTAATTTAGTCAAATTGGCATAATAAATTAAATAATTAAAGGATTTTTCTATTTCCTTATTTAAACATCTTATTTATATAGAGGAATCATTAAATATAATATCTAATAAAAATAACAAAGGAAAATATGTAAACTTCCAAAAAACTAGAGGTGCTTATACTTTTGGAACGCAGTGTATTAATATTTTTTTAAATTTAGAATAATTTATTATTTGAAGGAAAAACAATTCGCGTGAATGAGGGATTATTCTGCAGGGTTACTCTCGCGAACTTCTCCTAAATTACTCGCACATCTTGGTTTTGATATTCCATTGTTGGAATTAACACTTCCAGAAAGATGTTTTAATTCAAAAATTAATAAGAAAATTAAAAACAAAATTTATTTTCATAAAAATATTTTTTTAACAATTTTTACTTAAATATTAAAAATATATTTAAAATATTCCGGCTATAATATACCCAGATATATGTACATAAGATTTAAATTTTATTTTTATCCATTCCCTTTTTGGGCACATTATAAACGGTTAAACGTAAATACAATTAATCATAAAAATTAAGATTAGTTTCTGAACAAATTCCTTTTGATGGGCCAAATATTGAAATATTTTGATTTGGACCACAGCAATTTATACTTCCAAATTTAAATAATTCCTTAAATTAAAAATCAGAAAAAATTTAATTAAAAAATTATTTTAAAATAACAGAAATATTTGTAGACAAGGATTTTTATTTAATAAACAGTAAGGCTTGTGATGTGTTATTGAAATCAAGATAGGGCGGTTTTTGAGAATTTCTGGGGTCGGGATTCGGAGTTCGGGTCGAAAAAGGAACGGGTTTTGGGTATCGGATAACCTATCTCATCCCCGATTACAATACTAATGCTTAACCATTTCTATGGTTTACTTGTCTTGACTCTTATTAAGCCTTAGTTTTGTTCGCAAATTCCATCCAATCCCCACAAAAACTTCAAATAATAAAAAATTAACTTCATTCTTTTGTTTATCCATAAAAACAGAAATATAACAAGGAGGAACAAAATGAGTATAAGTTAATTCTCTAATAGCTGTAAATGTTGCTGCCCCACCACCCAAAATACCAAAAACTAAAAAATTAAAAAAAAATATTTTTTTAAAATTTTAATTAATTAAATTTACCAATAATAAAAATTGATAGAAAAAGTATTTTTTTATCAGAAATTGTTAGGACACTGAAAAATAAAAAAAATTATTTTAAAATTTAGTAAAATTAACTCTTTTAATGTTGCATATTCATTATATTCACTATAAAACGTAACTTTGTTTTCCTGAAAAATCAAGAAAATTTTTAATTTATATGTATATTTTTTCTGCTTATGTATATTATTTATTTTTAAATAAATTCAGAATTAATTACAACTAGAAAAAGTTTCCCAAAATTTATCTCAAGATTTAAGAGAACCTAGTTTAATGGTTCTTGGAGAATCTTTGGAAAGAAAACCAGAAAAGTCCTCGGTCCTTCTGTTCGGTTCCGAATAGACAATCCTAGTCTTGAATCTTGGAATGTTTGTTAAATTAAGAACAAAAGCTAAAGAAAGAGTTTAGCAAAAGTTTAGCCACCGGGCAGGATTGAACCTGCGTCCTCCTAACAGTTATTACTAGACGCTTCCCTTTCGCTCACCATATACAGGAGCTCTATTACGGAGCTATCTGGGCGACGACTAATGCTTTCACTTTTATCCTTTTTAGATCGTTGCGTCTTAAATGCGCTAATTGAATCATCCTTACATTATTAACCATAAAATTAAAAAAATTTATTACATACATTAAATTTAATTTTAATATTTTTGTTAGTTTCTTTCAGTTTATATTTTTGTTCAGAAGCATTTAAGAATAAATAACAAATACAGGGATATATTAATGCTGTAGATGTTTGTGTAGAACCTCCACTTAAATCGAGTAGAGGCCCAAATGTTGGAATTGATTCAGCAACTAAAACAACCAAAAAAAGAACAATTCCGCGAACAATAATTCGAAAAGGGCCAAATTCTTTAAAAATTTTACAAAATTATTTTTTAAATTTTTATAGAAAAAAATATTTTTAAAATACCAAAAAAGAAGACCTTGTGGTACAAAGAATTTCTTTTCGGCAATTTGGTTAATTGGATTAATTACAATAATTATAGAAAATATTGCATGTCCAGTAATTAAAAAACTGGCTGTCTAAATTATATTTTTTAAAATTATTTTAAAATGAATTTTTCGGGAAAAATTTTTGTAAATATACCGTAGAAACTGTAATAATGTCCCTCACTCAAATAAAAACCCCGCCTGTATTAGTTACCCACTTCAGCGAAAGGTTGAAGCATTAATTACTCCATTAAAAATAGTTAGGTATAATTAGCCTTTCTAAAATAACCTCTATTAATTACCCCGCTTCTATTTATTACCCCGTCCAGCGAGAGACCGAAACAATGATTACCCAGGGTAGTTAATTAGTCTTTACGTTAGATGGGTACTTAATTAATTTACAAGTAGACATCCTTTCCTTAAGAATTCTTAGCAAGTAATCTAAGAAAGGTTATGCCCCTCCTCCCTGTTTACAAAATTCAAAAGCACTTCCTCGTCCCTCCAAAAATTTGTTATAATTTCGAATAATTTAATTCCAGTCTAACATATCTCATTTAAAAATTGAACTTTTGATTTTAACCTTTCCTAATTTATAATGTCCTAAATTAAACCATTTTCGAGAGATTATATAAAATAGATATTCATTTATTTTCAGAAATAAAATTTTTTTTTAATTTCTTACATGCTGAATCCAAACATTTTGTATTGAATTCATAATAGATTCGCGTAAACTATTTCCATATACAATATATCCCAAAATACAAACAGGCAAATAAAGCATTGATAAAACTTTAAATTTAGTTATTTTATTAAAAATTATTTTAGTTTATCTTAATAATCCTTAATAATAATCTGTTTATTTTTTGTGAGGTTTTGTATCAATCAGTGACTTTTCTAACGAGTCATTATTTCCACATTTAGAACTTGCGTGGTCATTCCCAGCTTTTTTAGCCTAGTATTTACTCGAATATATTCAGCCGTGAACCTTAAATAGATGGCCGAATGTAAAAAGTTTTTGGAAAGTAAAAGGAAATAAAAATTACTTAAAAATGCTATAATTGATGCTTTAGTAAATTCTTTAGGTTTTTTCATGTCATGTTGAATTGTTGGAAAGCCAGGATGCCCTCCATAAGAGAAAAGAAAAGTTCCAAGGGCAAGAAAGTAATTACTAAATTTATTATTTGGTGGCATTCCTATAGAAATTTTGGCACAAACAGAAGAATCCATTAAAGTTCCAAAACAAATTAAAATAACGGCTATGGTTGTTGTCCCAGCTGATAAAACAGCTGCCCACCTTTAAATTAATTTTTCTTTGAAAAATTAATTTTAATTACCAAAAATCTTCTGGCGATTTAAGCAATGTAAACGGAAAAAGCAAAAGTGCCAAAATTAAAATTAATAAACAAAAACTAAAATTAACATCAAAAAAAGCTTTCAAAAAATGTTGAATATTTTTTGAAGATAAAAGTAAAAAAACAACACAAATTCCAAATTGATTTAATTGAATACATATACTTGCCAAATTTCTTTAAATTAAAAATTAAAAAAAATTAATTTTAAAAAATTATTTTGGAAGGTTTAGTAAATAAATATTTCCCTATCAACACTCAAAATTATTCAAATCCATTAAATTCCTTTAAAATAGTCAGATGCTCCTAAATATTATTATTTTTCTCAATAATGTTGTCAATTCATGGTGAATCAAGGGAAATTGGTTAATGGGGTTACACTTAACCTGGACTTTTTTTTTGACTGGAAACTCAATCCAACTTTTTTCTTGACCAGGCTTAGCCTGATTTAAACAAGGTTTTTAATGCCATGGTTTAATTTAGGTCTGTAACAGGAACGATAAAGAACGGGGGGGTAGGGGACGATTCAGTATCGCCGATTCAGTATCGCCAATTCAGTATCGCCGATTCAGTATTGGCCGATTCAGTATCTGAGCTTTTTGGCCATAACTTTTTGCTCGATCAATATTGTAGGAATTATTATATATGATTTGATAGGTCTCGGGGTGCTGCATCTTTTTCATAATTGGACTGCCCTGATCTGATCACTCTACAAAAAGTTATCACTGATAAACGACGTCACAGGCATAAAAAATCGGTTTTGACGCTGTAACTTTTTTTGTGATCATCAGATCAGATCGGGCCAATTATGAAAAAGATGTCGAATCTCGAGACCTTTCGAATGATATGAGAATTATTCGAATCGGTCGAATATCAGGGAAGTTATGGCCATATACTGAATCGGCGGATACTGAATCGGCGATACTGAATCGGCTATACTGAATCGGCGATACTGAATCGGCTATACTGAATCGGCGGATACTGAATCGGCGATACTGAATCGGCTATACTGAATCGGCGATACTGAATCGGCTATACTGAATCGGCGATACTGAATCGTCTTTAACCGAGAACGGGGAGATTTTATTTTAGAGGGAATTTACAAATACAAATTTAAAATTTACTTAAATCGAGGGCCTAAAGCCCTCATACAAATTTCTGGATAAGGTTCTCGGCAATGATTATCTTTATAAATACCAGGCCAACGTCTTTGTAAAATTAACCAACACTTTCCAAGCATTATAGATGTAGAGCAAGCCATTACTTTAAATTTAAGAGGGAATTTTAGATAGAAAATTAATTATTAACTTGTAAGAAGAATATTGAGAAAAATGCCCGTCCATAAACCTAAATTTTGAATTTTTATTTTTAAATTAAAATCTTAATTTTTATTTTTACCCGATTGAATCACAGCTGTTGGCAAAGCAACAATACCTCCTCCAGCTAATTGTGCTACAATAAATAAACCTGTTACAAACCAATTAAGCCCTCCATTACTCTTTTCGGCATTTACAGTCATTTAATATTTCTAAATATTTTTTTTGAATATTTTCTAATTAATGGAGACAAAGAAAAATTGTCAAAAGTTTAAATAAAATTTAGATTTATTCATTATTTTAAAATTATTTTTTGTATTTTTCTTAAAAGTTTAAATAAAATGTTTAAATAAAATTTAGATTTATTCATTATTTTAAAATTATTTTTTGTATTTTTCTTAAAATCTGCTAAATATTGAAGGCAGGAATCGAATCCGAAATTTAAATAATTCGCTCATTATTAGTTCATTATTAACCCGCTTAAGCGTCACACTTTCCCTTACATATTTAAATATGTAAGTAGGTAAAGATTAAGTTAAGAGCCGGATACTAAAGAGCTCTGAACTTGTATAAATAGACTTGCTTTGATAAATTTTTATCTCTTGAAATTTCTAAGTGACTACTTTAATTAATCATATTATTTTTTAGTTTTAAAAAAAAATTGAAAAAAACTAAAATTTACTGAATTATTTTTATTTTTACAAAATTTTTGGTTAAAAATAAATATTAAATAGATAAATGTAAAAATATGACATTCTATAAAATGCAACGCCAACCTTTTAATCTCTAATAAAAAATAAATATTCTAAATAAATTCCTACATTAATTTTATGTAAATATTTTTAAATAAATATCTATTTATTATTATTATAAATATTGAAATATAGAAGGAAGGATGACGGGAAATTAAAAATATTTTTGATTTAATTTAATTTTAAATGGCCAAGAAATTTTAATAATTAATAAGAAAATTATTTGGAAATAAAATTTTATTTTCTTTAGGTAATCGCGCCTTGAAGGGAGGACTGCTTCTTTTTTGTGATTATTTTTGAGGAATCAAACAAAAATAATTTTTTAAATAAAAAAACATTAATATAATTTATTTAATTATTTCTAAATTAATTTTTATCAATTAAATTAATTATATTTTTTAATAAAAATGCAAATAATATTTTATTTATAAATTTTATTGTTTTTTATTGTCAATAAAAATGATAATGAATAATGATGATTTAATAAATAATGATAAAATAATTAAATTTTATTGTTAATATGTTTGTAAATATAAAAAATAAATTAATTTATTTATGTCTAATAAATTTGGAAATGTAATACATTTTATTACTCCATTTTTTGGCTCTAAATATTTTTTAATGTTTTTATATTAAATCTCGGAGAGAAAAAATTCCTAGGATTTTTTATATTTTAAATTTCGAATAATTTTTAGTAGAATTTTCAAATTTGATTAAGAAGAAAAGCAAAGAAAAAGAAAATCAAACAATAATTAAGGAGTTTCACCCTATTATTATTTTTTATTATTATCCACTTATGATCAGTGTTCAGCAAATAAATTTTTCTAATACTGATACCGGAAGTAACGAAAAGTACTGAAATTTTCCAAAATATGTTCGGGACGGTTCCGGTATCGGGAGTACCGAAAATACTGACTCGTTATTTTCGGGAGTACCGCGGGAGGATTGAACCGTGCCGAACACACATATGATTTTGTATATAAATAATAACGTAAAAATCAGGTAACGTTGTTAAAGTCAATGAAGAAAAAACTTTTTAGAGTTTTGATTAGATGAATATAAACTATTAAAAATTAAAAAAAATATTTTTTTTTATTAAATGAATATTAAAAATAAATTTATATTTTATGTTTTGTGTTTTATTATTTAATTAAAATTAAATAAATTAATAAATAGCACGTGAATATACTTGAATAATAAATTTTAGCTTAAGCCAAAAATAATTATTTTTATTTATTATTAATTTTAAATAAAAAATAAAATTTATGCCTTGTGTAAATTTATTAAAAAATTTATTTTCCATTTATTAATCAAAAATTATTTTAAAAATTCATGTGATTTTAAATTTTTTTAAATAATTTAAAATTTAAATTATTAATTAATATACTTTTTTGTTCGAAATAAAATTTCAAAAAAATAGAAAAAATAAAGAAAAAATTAGAGAAATTAATTTTCGATAATTAAAACTAGAGAAAAATATTTTCAATTTTTGATTTCTATATTTTTGAAGATTTTTTGTACGAACAGCTTTGGTACAAAAAATAATAATTTAAATAAGAAAATTAAAAAAAGAAAAATTTTAAATCGGAAACGAATCCAAAAATATTTTATAAAAATTTGAGCATCTGTATACGATTATAATTTGAAAACAAAAAAAGTTAGAGTCTTTTTATTTTATTTATAATTAATTGAATTGACAATAATTCGTTTAATTTTATTTTTAAAAAATATTAAAAATGACAACTAAAAAATATCAATATTTAATTATTATTTTAATATTTGGTATTGTTATAGCAAAAAGTAATTATAATTTTTAATCGAAGTGTATAATTCAAAAGATTTCTAATATCCTTACAAAATAATTTTCCAAATATGGAGTTTTTAGGCTTAATTTAGATTATGTAGAAATCTCCAAATAATCTCGAATTAATACTATACCATTCGACGGCGAGTGTGTCGAATAGTACTGCTTTTTAATTAGTAAAATGTTTAGGACCTATATGTACCCTAAATTATTAAAAACGAAATAAAACAAATTAATTCATTCAATTCATTCAATTACACTGCGGTGCATATGTTTATGCACACTTGTTTTTTGTTCATAAGTTTATGCACACTTATTCAAAAAATAAGTTCTATATAGCAATCGAAAGCTCTATTTGTATCTCAGTTGACATGTTTCTGCATTTTTCGAAATTCTGATATTTTCGAAAAATTTTCGACCGGTCTAACAGGTCCGAAAAATTTTTCAGAGGATATGGGATTTGGTATATCCGGTAGATCCGGATTATCTCGGCCGATTTTCATTTTCATGGAAAATGCAGAAAAATGTCAACTGAGATACAAATAGAGCTTTCGATTGCTATATAGAACTTATTTTTTGAATAAGTGTGCATAGACTTATGAACAAAAAACAAGTGTGCATAAACATATGCACCGCAGTGTACTTCATTTTTACTTAAAAAATTTAAATGGAAAATATAAACCTGTTATATTATGATGGCTCTTACTATAACGGAATATTCCCTATTTACTTACAGGTTATTAGGCAAATAATGCAGTTCCTAGTGGTTTCATTATAACAATATTCTATTTAAATTACAACTTACAGAAAAGAAAACAACACAAAAAGCTCCTCTTGTTAAAGCAAATATTGATAGCAACACCAACAATAATAATGATAACACAGGACTAACACCTTTTTGTAATTGTGCCAGTGTAACTCCAAATTTTGGAAGTAATACAGATATACCTCAAAATCCGTGTATTCCAACTCTTGCTTACGACCAAAAAAGTATTTGGATAACTTGGAATAGACCCGACAATACTGACAAAGGATTACTTGATTATAATGTTTATATGAATGGAAATGTGAATTAAAAGAAATAAAGTCTAAAAAAAATAATTTTTTAGAAAATTGGTTCTTCTTCAGAAAATGCTAATAATTATGCAATTTCAGCCCCATATATAAATAATTTCCATAATGTTGACAAAAATAAATTTCATGTTCCAACATTGTTTAACTCTTTTTATGTAGACAATTTAGAAGCAAATACTGTCTATAAATTTACAATTCGTGCAGTATATTCTGATGGAGAATCTGAAGATAGTGTTACTCTTACTGCCAAAACTGCTCAAAATTATGGAAAAGTATGGAAATATATAAAAATTTAGAAAAAAATTAATTATCTGACTTAACAAGACCCAATAATTTCAAAATTTTGGTTAAGTATTGAAGGAGTTACGGCAAAAACTGTGAAATTAAATGCCAATTTTCTCTGAAAGGCCTAATAAGGTCCAATTCCTGAACAATTTTTTCTAGATATCTATATTTTATCTTCATTTAGATTATTGATATTACTGAGAAAGGTGCTAATGGAGACGGAAAAACAATAAATACTGCTGCTATTCAAGGAGCTATAAATGATTGTGGGCAAACCTCTTCTGCTTTTGACTGTAAAGTTTTAGTCCCAGAGGGTACTTACATTTCTGGGGCTTTATTTATACAAACGCCATTAACGTTGGAATTGGCTGAAGGGGCTATTATACAAGGATCGGGTGAAAGTAGCGATTTTCCCAAAAATAGAGGAAGATCTGGCAAACCTCCATCGCTTCTTAATGCTGTAAGTTAAAAGCATAACTCGCTTCAATTTCTAAAAACCTAATATACCTAAATAGCTCTAAACTTCATAATTTACCTATATGTATTTTAATTAATTTATCTCAAATTTGAGTAAGATATTTTGGATAAAAACAGCTTTGGTTTCAAATCCATGATTTTGATATGGACAAAGTTTATATTATTCGGATCAGATGGTTCGACTGCTCTCAAAACTTTAAAAGAAAGACTCGTGAAACTATGGTTTCTGCTGCTCCAGCTGTTAGAATGGGTTAGCCTCGTTACGCGAGTTATGCTAAATCAAATCGCGTGTCGAATTTACTGCACTCCTCTTTAAATTAATTTCAACTAAATATAGATAGACAAACAAGTAACAAATCTTCGAATTACCGGAAAAGGAACATTTAATGGTAATGGATGGAAAATTGATCAAGTTTTGAAAGATGAAGTTGGAAATGATATGCCCATATATTTTAAAGGAAATCCAAATGATTATAGCAAAGGAATTCTTGCAAAAAGCCAATTATCTGGAGGAGGTCCTTTCCAAAGTTCTCGTTCTACTCTAGCTTCCTTTTATAACGTAACAAATTTATTTATCGGAGGCAACTTAACATTCAAAAATCCTTCTTTTCATGGTTTGCAAGTTGACTATTGCAATAACGTTGTAAGATTTTATTTGAAAATGGCTCTAATATTTAATTTTGGAGTTTAATTAACATATACATACTAAGCTTCAGGGGTATCTTAGAAGTCATGATCTAAAAATTTTCAACATATTCATGACAAACAACTTCACGAGTCAAAATTACGCGGCAAATCCCCAAATTTTAAATACATGTAAATATTTTTAAAGGCCATAATTAACAACCGAATATTAACATATGCCGTAACTAATGGAGATGGAATTGATCTTGGCAGTTCCTCCAATGTCCAATTACTTAATAATTTATTGGATACTGGAGATGATGCGCTTTCTTTAGCTGCCGGTGCTGGTCGTATCGGCGAAAATGGAAAACCAACAGAATGTATACTCATGAGAAACAATTATATTAGACACAGTCATGGAGCACCGTCAGCTGGAAGCCATACAGCTGCCTGGATAAAAAATTTACTCGTTGAGGTATTTAGACAGATAAAAATTATAGTCTATTCGAAAGCTCCCAGAAAAGGGCTTCCAAGAAACAAAGAGCTAAGTTTAGCCAACTACCTAACTTATTCGCTAAAGCATATGGAAAAATGAAGGCGGCTAAATCTGCTATTGTCTAAACCTATGCTATTAATTATCCTTACATGTTCTCTCATTAAACCAATTTTAGTATAATTTTAAAAGTTTTACAAAGATTTTCATAAATGACGTTGTTCATGGTAAGCAAATCATCCCTTAAACCCCTTTTTTAAAGGAGGCTCCATTGATGGAAGATAATTTAATATATTTATCTATTTAAGTACAATGTAATAGTCTCGGCATCAAATGGTATTCGCTGTAAAAGTAGTCCACCAATGGGTGGAGGTGTAATGAATGCTGTATTCAGAAATATTGCAATGTTAAATGTTGGAAGTAAAAATACAGCAAATTTAGGAAATATTCAATTAGATGGAATAACAGAAGAAGGAAGTGCTATAATTTTAACATTAAATTATTTAGACGAAACAAGTGATTTAAAATTCCAAAAAGCAGTAAATTCAGCAAATTTTGAAGAAATTGAATTTAGTGAAATAACTATAGATAATGTTAATAAAGGAAATTCTGGACCTTCAATTTTAATGGAGGGATATGATAAAAGCCAAACTAATTATCCAAAAACTTATTTAAAAAATATTGTAAGTTTATTTTATTAAAAGGATTGGAGTTAATTGAGGAATTGGGCCAAATAACTTTTAACCCAAAGGCCCAATTATTACAATATTATCAGGCTGATGGAAGCTAGACATAGACTTAATTGTAAAAAAATTTAAATAAAATTTTGTGATTCAATCATACTTACAATTAGTAGCAATTAGCTCGTCGAGTGATCTACATAACAAGTCGATTAATCACCGTGATCGAATAATTTAGGGGAATGTTATGCATAGTTATTGTGGCCCCTTCCATATGGGGAAGGAGATATTCTTTAAAAATTAGAATGTTTTTCTTTATCAAACAAATATTTTATTAAATATAATCAGATAAAATTTGATTAGGTAAATATTTGTTTGATCCAGGCACTATTCAAAATTTATTTGGCTTCTCGTTCAGGGAATATAAACAAAATTATTTAATTAAATTTATAGTTAGTCAAAAATTTAAATTTAACAAATGTTTCTCCAATACAAATAACCCAATTACTCAATAGCAGCTTTGTTAATGTTCAAATTAATAATTTTAATGGCATTTCTGCTTGGAAAATAAATGATGCTCAAAAATTAAAATTTGAAAATGTTCCTACTCTTAAAAGAAATAATTGGGCTTAATTTTAAAAATAATTTGGAAAATTTTTAAATATAATTTGGGTTTAAATTGTTGGATATATCGGGGTTTCATAAAAATAACGGGTAGGGGTTTGGGAAAATGGAATTGAGGGTAACACGGTGACACTATGGATATTTATTATTTAATTTTTAATTTATTCTAACAAATTTTTAGAAATATGTAAAATTAAATTTTTTCTAATTTGATAAATTGAATTTTATAAAATAAGAATTTTAAATAAAAAATAAAATAAATATAAAAAATAGCATAGATGAGCTAAACATAGAAGTCTTTATACAATAAATAAAAATACAAGAATTTAAGAAAAAAAAATTACTTTAAAAAATTTAAAAATTTCTTTAATTTACAAAAACTTTTGTTTTAAAAATTCAAATTAAAAAATTTAGTAAATTTTAAATAATTTACTAATTCTTTTTTAAATGTTTTTTCTTTTCCTCCTCTTCTTCATCTTTAAAAATAATAGTTTTAATATAATTATTAAAACGTTGTTGGTACTGATCTGGAGGGATAATGCTGCATTGATATTGGTTAATGTTTAATGGAAAGGCTTTGTATGTCTAGAAAAAATTAAAATAATTAATTTAAATGGATCCGAAAATTTAATCCGCAAGTCTGTTTATTTAGAAAAAAATATACCGTCTTTGCTAAAATAATTTCCCAGGGTAACCTCTCGCTTTAAATGGTGTAATTAAAAGGGAGGGAGTAATTATTTTAGCCTTTTTTAGAATGGCTAATTATAACTATTTTTAGGAGGGGTAATTATTTTTTCGATCTCTGGCTGTAGGGGGTAATTAACAGGCCGGGGTAATTATTTGAGAGAAGGACATTATTTCAGCATTTACGGTGCCTATATTTATTCTAATAGAACCACAGTCTCTAATATAGCCACCTCAAATGGAGAAATGAAAAATAGAACTTCCGGTGGTTCTATTAGAATAAATAAGGTATATTCTTTTTAGCTAAAATAATTTTTTATTTAGCCGTTTTAAAACTTTTTTTGTTAAAATAAAGACTTGCAGATAAATCTGGCGAAAGGAGTATGAATAAGTAAAAATAAATTTAAAGAAAACTAACAGGAAAAATAAAAGCAATTTTCCAAAGAAATTCTACTATTTTACTAAAATTAAAAAATTGTAAAACATCAATTATTCCAACAAAAATAATTAGATTTTGCTCTGTATTTTCTCCGATACAATTTGTACATTTTGCCGGATAACTTTTTATTTGAGCACTTAAAATTAAATTTTTTATTATATTTTTTAACTCCGAATTTATTTTAAAAATTAATATTTAAAAAATATTAATTTTTATTACTAAATAAAATAAATAGGCACTTAATAAAGTCTATTTGCGCAGACAATTGTGGGCATTTGTATAAACAAAAATCTTATTATGTATTATTATTATTATTGTAACATTTAAAAAAAAATTTTTATTCACAAAAGTACTTTTACAAAATCCAGTGGCTTTATAATTCAGAACTAAGTGAATTATCTTTTTAAGTTTGTCCCAAATGTCTGACAGTCGAATAAAATTAGCAAACTTTCTCAGATTTTAATTTGCGTATATTTTAAATATAGTTGGGAACCTCACTATACATAAGATAAACACGGGATATATTGTGGATTACCAAAAGAAAATTATTTTTTAAATTGATATCCATCTATCAGTAAATGTAGTATCTTATAGCGGTGTCCGGCAGTATTTATTTAATTTAAAAAGCAAACTTTGTATAATCTTTTGTATACTCTCCATCATTTTTTACAATACCCAAAAGTAAGCTATAATCAACAATTTTATGTTTAGCCAAAAAATCCGAATCTCTTTCCAAATTTTTAGTAATTTCTTTATAATGTTCAGATTTTAATAAAATTCCATTGGGGAATTTTCCTTCAATTATTTCATCTTTCGTTAAAGTGAAAAAATTCAAAATATTTTCGCCTTCCCTAAAGCGAACAAAATCCAATTCTTTATAGACTTTAACTTTAGTTTCTTCTTCATTTTCTTCCAAAATTTTTTTATTTTTATTTTCTTTCATCTCTTTTTTCTTGTCTTCATCTTCTTTCCAACGATGATATGAAGCACCTTTTAAATCGAATATAAAATCCAAACAGGGTATATTTTCAGGAAATAATCCATTTTGAATGAAGAAATAATGTGAATTACCTCCATTTACCTAGAAATTAATTTAAAATAGAATTTACATAAATTTAAAAAACAATAATGAAAGTTGCGGATCGCAATTACAATGACGCTACTGGGACACGGCAAAAGGGGATGAGCGCCAGAGGTGGGTCGGAACAGTCAGAGGTGTCGGAAATCGAAATTCCGACCCACTTCTTATGAGCGCATTGCGTTTTCCGTTATTTTTGTCGAAATTAATGTAAAAGGAGGAATTGTGGTTTCTTGAACATATGAATTTTCAAAAAAATTAGCCCGCGGTGCCGGAAGTTGAGGAACTATGCCTTTCTCCCCTTTAGTGATACCCATGGACATGTCATTTGTAGAAGTAGTTGCCACAATTTCGATATCTTATTATAAAATAAAAAATGTCCGCCCGCAAATATCTTCTATAAAGAAAACCTCGAATTTAAAAAAAGCAAATAATTGAGGCAAAAATGATTTTTCTCCATTTTTAACATAATTAAAATAATTAAGTATTCCTCCTTTAAAAAATTCTCTTTCATTTTCTAAATAATTTTCTCCATTTTGTTTCAGGAAAAAATCCATTTCTTTTTTATTAACACTTTTCAGAAAGAATTTTCCATTCACAGAAGTAAAAAATATTGAATTACTTTTTGCTGGATTTTCAAATCCTTTTAATTCTTTTTCGGTTAATGATATTATTAATTCTTCTTTTTTTATTTTAAAATTATTTTTCCATAATAATTGAAATTGTTTTGTAAAATACATGGAGAATTTAAAATCATTTTTGTAATTATGTGGGAAATTTTCATCCTTCCTTAAATTAAATTACCGTATTTTTCCAAATAGAGCCCCCTTCTCTAATACACCCCCAGTTTGGAGGATAGTTGTATAAACAGTCCCGTGGGGCTGTATTTGGAAAAATACGTTATTATGATTTAGGGAAGAGGACTACCGTATAATTACTCTCCCTCGGATAATTACCTCTTACCTATTACTTATACCTCCTACATATAGTGGAAAGTTGAAAAAAAATGTACTACCAAACGTTGAAAAAAAACCCGAACTATTTGCCCTTCCCCTATTAAGTACCTCCTCTGGCGAGAGGTTGAAACAATAATTACCCAGGGTGATTATTCAAGAAAGTACAGTAATCTCAATTAGCTTATATTATTTTTATAATTTTAAGAGAATTTTAAAAGAAAATTTTCTTCTAGGAATACAGACTAGTTCTCGATATTTAAAAGATTTTACGAGATTTTAGGTTTGTTCCTAGAAAATTATTTGAAATTTTTTGAAAATAAGAAATCCACAAAGATTCTTTGTATTACACAAGATCCATTACCCAATATAACATTTGAAAAATTTACTTTTTAAATACTCTGTATTTTTCAAATTCCTCCCCTTCCCCCTCCTTTAAACTTCCATTAAACAAAGAACATAAATATTTCCTTAAAGCTAATTGTATCGAAGTTTTTAGCCCAATTTCTTTCATTTTCAATTTATTTTCATTATTTTCATCAATTTCATTATCATAATATCCAGCTGCCAAGTTTTTAATATTTGAGGAACTGCAAAGCTTCTTAGCTTTTTCCTCATTTTGTTTAAATGATCCTTTTGTTGAA